GGTACGAGCTTTTATTTTTGTGTGAATAGGTTTTGGCGTCAAAGCTTAATTTATGAAACAAAAATAAATTTGGGTATTAATTAGGCACTGGTGAAGTCTAAGCCAACTACTTTTGCGTTATAAGTTTCGATTTAATACTGCCTAACCATTTGTTTGGGAAGGATGTAATGTTGAATGTTTATAATTCTTTAAAGATGATCTTGTTTAGAAAAGTTGGTGGAATTAAATCTGAAGTCTAGCTGATTTATTAATCTGATGAACATTCGTCTTATGTCTACTATAAAGAAAAAAATCAGGTTCCAGTATATTATTAATTTACGTTGAATTGTGTTTCATTGTGGTTGTTAAACCTAGTTTTATGTTGCTTTCAAATAAGTGTCACATATAAAAGTGGATTTTATTGAAAACCCTTTCCAGCTCATCCGCAACTTCCTATTTATGTGATGCATTAAGGCGTTGTTTAATTTGTAACCTCGACTGGTATGCATTGTTAGGTCACGGATATCAAACCTTGGGTGGTATTGCTGCATAATTACACAGTCTTATTTGATAGCGCTTATACCCCCATCACCTTGGGTTAATCATATAGAATGTGTAATCGTTCACTCAGAAATATTCTTCGCTAGGCCAAAGTATTGTATGTTTCTTTGCATAAAACTGTACCTGGTGTTGATGATAGAATGAACCCAACACTGACCAATCTTGCCAGAGGCTCCGTAATCTGTAGCTTAAGGGAGGAGAATGTGTGGCATTTCACACAAAGGGGTTGCGTGTCGGCGACAGATTTTCGGCTCCGCTTCTGTCTAGAACAGCGCACCTGGTTTGGCCTCTTAATCCGAGTGCCTCCCCAAGCACACCTGCCGTCTCCCCTGCATTGCGTGATCTTATTAGGACTTGTCGTTATGAACGGTCCTACAATTCCCTGTGACTGCTTACTTTGCCGCAGCAGGGGGGGACGTGTGGCATAAACATCCCGCCCCAGCCGGTGATGATTGTAATGGCAAGCAGATGTTTTAAACACCAAAATATATTTTCCGTAGCAGGATGTCGTGCAATTACCGCGGACATTTTGACATTATCTGGACTAGTTTTTATGATCGTTATTAGTTGAGCCTGTTGCCATTTTTAACGCCTGACCCTGGGGTTGCTTTGTGCTCCATGCGTGCGCCGGCTGCTGCCCCTGGTTTGTGCGTCAGCCACATTCAAGCATCCTGCCTGGCGTGACTCCAACCACCACTGTTTCATCCCCTTCAGACTACAAAGGCTCTTGAGGATTATTTGCCAGCTTAGCTGTGACAAGTTATTCATTTGATCAAAATGAACGAGCGGGCTGGGATTGCTCACCAGCGTTAGATGGGGTCATAGGGCTGCACGATGCTTGGCTGAAACATGCGGGCTTGGGCAGACCTGCGAGAGGAGCAGAGAGTTTACCCCGTGTGCTGTCTGTAATGCCCCCTGGCTAAGCGCTACTGGTTTAATTAAAAGGGAGTGTCGGTTTGGTCATGATTGGACATGCCTGCCTTTTGATGAGTACATCCTGGTGTTGAACGTGTATCATCCACTCCCCCCCCCCCCCCCCCCTTCTGTGCCTCAAGGGAAGAGAAACTAATATGAAACTGATATGATCTGCCTCTGTGTGTGTGTGGCTCAGTCTTCTGCTAAAACCCTAGGGCAAATCACTTATTTAATAAATAACCATTACATGTCCAAATTTTTGAGGTTTTAACCATCGGAAAGTTACGTCTAATAACAATGACTCACTGCCTTCTTGCAATGTGTTTTTCTAATCCAATTAATTGCTTATTTTTAAAATAATTTCACATGTACTGTTGTAGTGTTTTAGTTTGTAATTTTGCATACATTCTGTGCTACCGACTGCTGTTTTGTGCTAAATACATCCCGACGTAGCAACGTAGGCATTATGTGAAAAATTGACGATTGATGTCGCGTGTACATTCTTGGTGGCGTTCTTGCTGCGTGTGCAATCGCCTCGCTGACGGCGCCCTCTTCTCGTTTGGCGCAGGGTTTGCCGTGGCAGGTGGTGGCCTCGAGCTGCTTCTCCGCAGCCTCTGACCCTGCAACAAGCCTCGCTTGGTGCCACAGTGAAGTGTGGCGAGGGATTTTGACTCCTCACCGAGACGACAATTCGCGCCGCTGGACAGTTCGATAGACCACCTTGAACGCATCTCAATCTAGGATGAGCTTTTTCCTTTACGACACGGACATTGGGTGTAAATAGAATGCACGTGAAAAACTCGTCGGCTTTGGAGGGCAGGGCAGCAATACAAGAGGGGCAGTTTTGTTGCAGGTGCTGGTGGAGGCTGGAAATGGGGGAGGGAAAGGGAGGGAGACTAATGCAGTAGGAAGCAGGAGCACACTGGGGAGCGAAGTGGGCCTGATTGAAAGTGAGCTGAAGACAGAACACACCTTGCTTTTATGGTCTTAAAGTACGTGCTGTTGCCGCCCGATGAGCAGCGCACGCGGGGCGATTGTTCGTGTCGGTTTGTCAGCATTTCCCATAACCGCTTGCTGCTCTGACTGCCACGGCGAGGCACCGCCGCTATCGCCTCCCCCCCCCCCATTGCCTTTGCCGCGTGCATTCCGGACGAGAGCGCACCACAGGGAGAGAGAGAGAGACGACGCCGTCGCCGCGCGCACGCGAACGGGTCACACAGCGGTGACGGACACGGCGGCGATTCGGGCAACGCGCGTACGAACGAGCGATGAGCGGGGAGAGCAGTTTTATACGTTTTAGAGGAGCGTTTTAGAACAAATAATGCATAGGCGGCGCGCGCACGCGTGTGTGTACGTTAACACCTCCAACCTTGCAGTGCCATAAATTAGTAGCGTTGAGCGTGACTCGGGAAATTGTTTGCCAGCTCCTAGCCCACAGCGCGTGCTTGATGTCCCTTGCGCAGCTGGGCAAAACCAAACCAGAATTCCAACGTTAAACAGTGTTTTTTTTTAGATTTAAAAGATATATATTTTTTGGGTTGTAAGTGTATTTTTGAAGAGGACCCCTTTATTTGGAAGTATTTTGAATCTTTATTTAATTAGGATTTAAAACATAAAAGAAAGCTGATTAATCATGTTAAAATTAAGCTAGGAGTTGTGCAAAATATAGGAACAAGCAATTAAAAAATTTCTGCAAAAATTATTTTTTTCATTTAAATGCAAAGCCAGAAAAAGAGATATAGCCGTTTACAGGATTGGAATGATTAACATTGTTTCGCATATCATTCGAGAGCACAGTTCCATGGGCAACATTGGCACTGGTCCCAGTGGCTGCCCATAACTTTGCTCGTGTCAGTCCTAACTTTAAAAGCGTGTGGCATTTAAGTTATTTTTCCAAGATGTGAAAGTGCAAAAGTAATGTTTTGTACATTAAACTGGAATGTTGGGAAAGTGAGCACCTTCTTCGCTCTGTTGTAAACCCCCTGTTGCTTGAATCGGCCGGTAGGGTTGGTTTTTTTTTTTACAGCAGGTGGAAAATGAAGAGAAGCGTTGCGCGCGCAGATTTGCGAAACGTTGAGCTTCCTTAATTCTTTTTTTTTTGAGACTTGTCAAATGTTTATTTTTTTTCTTCCCCGTTCACGTTCGTCAGCAGCGTTAATTATAATTTTGTGTCTTTTAGCACGAAGCGGCGTTTACGATTGCTGTGCTGTGTTCACGATGGTGTTGATCGTCTTTCGGGTTTCCTTACGAATTAGAAGAAGAAATCAAGGCGGGCTTTGAATGAAAAATTGAGTGAGACGTGCTGTGTATCAATTCAGAATCTCAAGCGAAGGTCTTTGCATAGAATCTTGGCAAGATTAGTACGTTTAGTACTGAAGTGTTGTACATAGTATACACACATTACCATAGACACGGAAACAAAATGTGATTCAGTTTAAATTATGGGAAACTGGTTTGTGTTAGCTCTTGCTTTTTTTGCATCGTTATTTTTTCTTAAATCAGCCCCATTGGATTTAATTTTCACTTTTGGATCAAGAAGTCTCAAGTGCTGCCGTGATGAAGCCCACAATTACCTTGCCTCTTGCCCTCGGAACATTTCTGTAATTCGGCCAGTGGCTCGCACGTCTTATGTTTTGTTTTTCGTAAAAGCGAGGATGCGGTCACCTCGTGCACAGGTCTCGGAAAACTCTTTGACGGGCTCTCGCCCACTTTGCGTCAATGGCTTGCGTCGGATTGCGAACGGACGGGTTTTTTTGATGTACCTTAGCGAAATCTATAAAACCGTCGGAGATGGACTGCATTGTCTTTTTATTATTTACACCACTTTAAAAGAATCAAGTAATCTTTTACACAAAACTCCCATCAAAGTAAGAAATGAAGTGGCTGCCCGTTTACACAACTGTATTTAAGTAAATCCTCATATGCAGTGACCAGCTTAATTTTGGGGTAAAAATGCATTGTAGATTGTATAACATCATTGATTGACAGGTTGAACATTTCAATAATTTTTAGGACAGACGCCCATTTGTCTCATAAATGCGGTCGTCTTTGAAGTCTTTGACTTGAGTAAAAAAAAAAACGTCTTTTAAAACTTCAGTAGGTTAATGCTCTCAGTGTGTGAGTATCAGTCTGGCCAATATATTTTCCTCAGGGCTTTTGTAAGGTAAACTCTGCTAGCCTCTCAACAAAGTGTCAAATGGATGATGAATCATCAGTAAAGTGAGAACTGCTGTGTAGACTTGAGACCAATCCAAACCCATTGGTTTCCTATTCCCACCCTCATCATGGCTCAATGGTATCGCTTATGACTGAGCAACACACTCCGTCTCCCATCGCAAACATTCAAGGTGTTTGGTGCCCTAACTGAGCTAAGTGGACAGTCTGCAGGGCAGTAACGAACAGGATTTTTGGAAAGAGAAAAAAACACATTCTTCCAATCCTTTTATTATAATATAAAAGGCAGAAATGAAAGTTCGCAAGGTATATTTTAGCTCCCGAGAAACAAAAAATACTCGTACAAAGCAGCTTTCCAGGAGAACATGGTGTTCACGTAGCAGCTGTGCATGGAGATTTTAATCCAACGACCTCCACTTAATTCATTGTAATGCAGAGAGGTGGAACACAATTGAGTTGCCGAGGAATGGATTAAAATTCAGTTCGGGATTGTTCAACATTATCAGCATTTTAGCAAATGTACCTAGCATATCTATTCTCATCTCTCACAAAAATAGAATACGTTCGGGTATTAATTTCTCAGAGAAAGAGCTTTATCATATGTATATTAGCATGCATACTGTACATTCTTGGGTAAGTGGATGAAACTTAATGTTGATAATGTTGCATGATAACATCGGGTCACAGATAGAGATGGAATCATTTCTGCAGTTTTGAAGGTTCCCCATTTTTTTTCCTTTCAGCAGATTAATTGGCTTGATGCTGTTAATAACATTGGCAAAAGCGTTCCACTGTTTTTCAGTGCCATGACTCCCTATTTGGCAAATTTGAAAATACAATAACTTAAACAAGGCATCTTTTGTTGAACGCCTGCTCGGGGCTCAGGAAAGCTAAGCTTGGGGGTGGTATATCTGTAGCCCTTGTTTTTGCCACCTCGCGTGAATGGCGGAGATGACCGGGTGGTTCAGAGGTTAGAGTACTTAGCTGGGCACTGCTGTCGAGATGCGGAGTTCGAATCTGGGCAGCGGCCTCCGATCAAATCGGGTTCCCAAATTTAGTGGGACTATGGTTCCAGCCCAGTCACAACAGGACCACTTACCAAAACAACTCCCAATACTTACATTTGGTGCTTCACTTAAGTTAGATAAACAGCCTTTTTAGTTTGCTTTAATTTATGCCTATTGCTTTTGGCTCACCCTCACGTGTTTAACGACCCTGTTTCTCCACTAAATCAAGAGTGGTTTCCCAAAAATGAACTCCTACTCCCTAACACATGAACTTCGTCCCATGCTGGGCACCCAAGACACTGAACATTCGTTATTTATTTTCACGCCCCCAGCTAGCACCACGTAACCCTCAAGAGATTTAGGGTGCTCCTGCTAATATAACTTGGGTTACTGATTTTTCTTAAACCCATTTTCACGAATCGACATTCAAATGCAGAGTTCTGTTACACGGTGAACGCCTCTGCTGACCCAATGAAGGTGAGACGTGCTGAATGGTGTTTGGGAAGCCCTGACACTTGGCTGTGATGTGACAACTACATTATATTCTTGGTACTTTCGGTAAAGTCACGTAGAAGGGAAACATTTTTCTTTCTGTGATTTTCACACCTGATGATGATTGCTTGTGTTGCAGTCGAAACGTTGTGAGAATTTTATTGTTTTATTATTTTATTGTTTCCCTTCTACGTGACTTTACCGAAAGAACCAAGAATATGAATCCCTGCAGTCACGAAAGCTTGAAATCAAAACTACAGTATATACAATCAGTTTGTACTTAACATATACAGGACAGTACCAATGGCCTGGACAGTGCAATAAACACAGCCTGCCACCTGCAAGCATTGCCTACGCAGTTGTGCGTACATAGGCCACAGACGCAATCACATTGCATTGTAATGTCATTCACTTCTCCCAGCGCTGCAATAAGTGCATGCATGCAAAGGATGTGTTCCATCAAAGCCACATTTATCCAGCATCATAATCCCCTGTGTGCCACTGATGCTGCTGCAGCTGTGGTTATCACAGCCACGCGGCTGCACGGACGCGCCGCCCCCACCACCCCCTCTATCTCCTCCGCTGCTGCCTCCCCTCCGACTGCTCCTCGGGCTCAGTTGGAGCTGAACGTGAACGTCCGTCCGGTGCCGTTGACGGACGGCGACGCCGGGAAGCGGGGCATGCGGTCCATGATCTTGGAGGACATCTTCCGCTTGTGGGCGCCGGGCGAGCCGCCGCTCTGCCGCAGCATCTCGCGGTGCAGCGCCTCGAACGCGGCCAGCACCTCCTCGTATGAGTCCCGCGCCGACACCTCGGCGAACGGGCAGCGCAGGGCGGCGGCGAGGGCCTCCCCCTCGGCCACGGAGACCATGCGGTCGAACTGCAGGTCCCGCTTGTTGGCCACGACGAGGGCGGGCGGCGGGTCCGCCGCGGAGGGGCCCCGGCGGCCGCACGCGTGCGCGTGGTTGACGAGGAAGCGGAGGCGCATGACCTCGTCGAAGCTGCAGCGGTCGGTCACCGAGTAGGCAATGAGGAAGCCCTCGCCCCACTTGATCTTTTCCTCCAGCAGCATGTTGTCCTCCTCCTGGGGTCAGACACGAGATGTTAACCACCTCGCTTGGCATGCAGGGAGCTCGTTGATTCGATCCCGACCCTGATCCCTGCTGTATATTTGGAGTTTGCGTGTGTCTCTCTCCCCGTGGTCGCGTGGATTTTTGTCCGGGTCCTCCGGTTTTTTCCCTTCCACATTTAGAATCAACGTCACACATTTAGAGCAGTGGTTCTTAACATTAACTACAGCCTTGCACCCCTTTGGTTCTGAATCGTTACAACATGTATAATGTTAATAAATATATAGGTTTAATTAAACAAAGTTGTATATTCTTGGTTCTTTCGGTGAAGTCACGTAGAAGGGAAACAATAATTAATCGCAGTAACAGTTCTATTTCCGATGGTCTGAAATCCGTTTTAGCTAAAGGGCTAAACTTTGCAGTCACACCTAAACACATACCAGTTAATGATATCATTGCTCATGTCGACGTGGCTCTCAAGGGCCTGGGTCACATCGCTGCAGATGTAGCAAGATCTGAAATCGCTGCCACCCTCAAAAACGCTAAGATGCCAGCTAGCTACCTCAGCAAAGATTATCGTTTTGAATTATATAAATTTAAAAAGAGGGATGACAGTCATCCTCTCAGCCGACAAGGGCAATGCCACTGTCATCATGGATAAAATAGAATATAATAAAATTCAAAAATTACTCAACGATGGCAGCTATACAAAAATAAAAAGAGATCCCACCAACAGCCTCGTCATACAAACCAACAAAATAATTTCTGATTCAACCGCATTAATTGATCAAACCAAACAGTTCTCGTTGAAACCTTCTGCTGCTAGGCCACCAAGATTATACGGCTTACCAAAAATACATAAAGTAGATACACCCCTTCGTCCCATGCTGCCTTTCACTGGAAAAACCACCTCTGCGGTACAAAATTCTACTCACCTGTTATCGACAATCAAGGGTATTTCCCTGTCCCCAGACGACCTGCTTGTCAGTTTTGATGTAGTTTCCTTATTCACCAAAGTTCCTGTACCTGACACCATCACAATAATTGAAGACTTGGTTCATCAAGGACTAAACACTGAGGTACCCCCCTGGTGAGACACTGCTTAACCAATACATACTTCACTTGGAATGTAACTTTCTACAAAGAAACTGAGGGCACCCCAATGGGCTCCCCTCTATCTCCAGTTGTAGCCAACATTTTCATGGAGAAATTTGAGACTGACGCCATCCAGACTGCCACTCTGCGCCCAACCTTATAGAAGATGTACGTGGATGACACTTTTGTCATCTGGCCACATGGCCGGCCTGCTCTAGACCAATTCCTCGACCACATCAATTCCATACACCCAGCCATCAGATTTACCATGGAAGTCGAAAAAGATGGGAAGCTACCTTTTTTGGATGTCCTAATAAAAAAGAGACCGGATGGTTCAATGAGCCACTCTGTCTACAGGAAAGCTACCCATACGGATGCTTACCTGAAACCGGATTCCCACCATCATCCATCCCAGAAGAATTCCCTCATCAAGACTCTGCACCATAGAGCCCAATGCATATCCGACCAGGAACACATAGCCAGTGAACTCAAGCACGTACACCAAGCTCTTAAGGCTAATGGTTACTCCGACTACACAATCCGCAAAGCTATCACTCCAATCATGAAGAAGGACCCTCTTGAGGAGCCATTCAAAACCATCACTTTACCCTACATTGCGGGGATCACAAAAAAGATCTCCAAAATCTTGGATAAACACAAGAACCAGGTCCGATTCAACACATTACATAAAATCCGTGATCTAGTTCCGTCTGTAAAAGATGTGATTCCGGACATACAGTACCCTGGCGTCTACAAACTAAGTTGCCTCTGTGGTAGTAGTTACATTGGAGAAACCAAACGACATGTCTTGGACCGCATCCGTGAACACAAAGACCTAAAACACGGTAGGACCAACACCTCGGCCATGGCAGATCACTGTTATAATTCAGTAGGCTCACATGACATTCACTTCTCCAAGACAGAGATTCTCTGCAAGCCATCAGACTACCATGAGAGATTCGTTCATGAGGCTATCCACATATACAAACACAGAGGCAATTTCAACCGAGAAGATGGATTCTAGCTTAGCAATCATTGGAAGGATTTGATAAACAATTTCGGGTCTAAATTGATTGTTCACACTTATGGTGGCTTTAAGACAGCATCCATTATTTTCGTCTCCCCCCTCCTCTTTTACGAACAGAGATGGGCTCTGATTTAAAGCTTTCGTGACTGCAGTAATTCATATTCTTAGTTTTTTCGGTAAAGTCACGTTGAAGAGAAACAAACAAAATAACAAAATATATATAAAACAATAAAAAATTCTCACGACGTTTCGACCATAACTCAAACGGTCATCATCAGGTGTGTTGGTTTGCATAAATTTATTTTTAAACGGCACATTTTTTTTATAAATAAATTTTATAAATAAATAAATGTGCCGTTTAAAAATACATTTATGCAAACCAACACACCTGATGATGACCGTTTGAGTTATGGTCGAAACGTCGTGAGAATTTTTTTTTTATATATATTTTGTTATTTTGTTTGTTTCTCTTCAACGTGACTTTACCGAAAAAACTAAGAATATAGAGATGGGCTCGTCCATCTGATTAACTGCCAAATCGCTCTCCGTGGTGCTAACGTTAAAAAACGCCACTTTTTTCAAAATTTTCTTGCTGTGGTTTTCACACCTGATGATGATTGCTTGTGTTGCAGTCGAAACGTCGTGTTTTATATTTTTATTATTTTATTGTTTCCCTTCTACGTGACTTTACCGAAAGAACCAAGAATATGAATCCCTGCAGTCACGAAAGCTTCAAATCAAAAAGTAGTTGTATTTATGTGCCCGTGCTGAATTTGTTTTGATTATTTACCTTATAAAATTATATGGCCATGTCTCGCATCCCCAGAAAGGGCATCTCGCACCCCCAGGAGGTGAGTGCATCCCAGGTTAAGAATCACTAGTTGAGTGTTTTGCTGCTTTAAATTTCCATATGATGAGCCACTACGTTGAGCTACCATTTGTGGCCAGGTGGCTTCTGAAAAAGCTATATAGCTCAGTGGGCCTTGCCTGCTAAAATTAAAAGAGTAAATAAAATAGTAACACGCGAGGCCAGCGTGCAGGGATTTGGGACGGGGAGCGATGGGAGGAGGAGATGATGATGGTGCTGGGGGGAGATGGGAGTCTCGTGTTTTCGGCGAGGTGGCTAGGAGATGGTAGTACAGCCGTGGTGGGACGGATCCCCCCACATGTATGTATGGTGAACTTCTTTCACATGGTACCTAGCCAACCGTGCCAATCGGAGGTGCGATGGAAGGACAACGCGTGCATGGGGTTTGTCTGGATTCTCTGGTTTCCTTCCAGAAGCTAAACACTCATGAATGAAATTGGCCAAACATTACAATGTGGGACCCTGATAACAAAAAAAAGTCTTTTGACACACAATAAGGCCTTTCTTGGTACTCCAAGGGCATTGTTGTTATTACAACATTGTATGTATCTAACATACACCTTTGTCAATTCACATATAAAAGTGTCAGCTCTGGGCCTTATCTCGGTCGTTTAAGCCTCACATGAGTACCTGGTGTAGTGTGTAAATATCGACACTCGGGAGACAAAGGTGGTCGGGCGTGGTGCTGGTCCCTCAGCCCCTCGTATACCGTTCGGGCCTTCATAGGTGCCTGCTAACAGCACTTGCCCTGACAGTCTGTTAAAGATTATACGGGGGATCTTTGTCTTTGTATATACAGACAGCTGGCTGTGTCGGCATGCTGTTTTGCCTACAGGTGTCTGTCTCTGTCTGCATGTCTGCTGAATGCAGTATTCGTATGATGCATGCAACCTGAAAGAGTACCCTCATTGCGTTTGACCGTTTAAAAATCCCACACTTAAAGAAACGTTTGCAGTACTGTAATCGTGTGTGTGTGTGTGTTTGTCCATCAAATGTCATGCAAGCCGACCCTTTTGTGAGCAGTAACACATGGCACCGTGCGAGAAAAGTGGCGTGAGCTGGTGCCGTGACCATCACTTGCCTGTCCCGCAGTATCCAGGATCTCAAACTGCACCATCTCTCCATCGATGCCCGTCGAGTGGCGGTAAATGGTTTCTGCAGTACATGCGGAAACGCGCGACGAGTCACGATGATGCGACGACTCAAACAGATACTGGACGTCGCCAGTTGAGCATTTTAATTCAAACCAGTTTATACGTACATTTTGTTTTACTTTTTAAGGGATTGCCCACAAGTCACTGTGGCGAGATGTTAACTACCTCGCCTGGTACACGTGAGGTCATGCGTTCGATCCCGACTCTGACGCTGCCTGTATATTTGAAGTTTGCATGTTCTCCCCGTGGTTGCGTGGATTTTTCTCTATGGGTCCTCCGGTTTTTCCATCCACATTTAGAAACATGCGTCGAGAGTATTTGACTGTTATACATTTACACATGATAAGCTACTTTGTTGATGTACCATTTGTGGCTAGGTCGCTCCTGAAAAAGAGCCGTATCGCTTAGTCGGCCTTAACTGGTAAAATATGAATAGATTTAGTTTAGGTTAGTTTTATAATTTATAGTTTTTAGTTTTAAATGATAAACCGTTTATACCTCGATGCAAAATGTTGTGTTTACAGGGTCTCACAGGGTAAGGTGAATTAGCTTATCTCTCTGTTTTCTCTCTCACTTCTGTATAAGGACTATGGGCCCAGAACATCTGTTGCGTGATAATGGTGAATGTGTTGTGATATTTGTTTAATGTGCCTGTGCACAACTGCCAAGCCTCTTTTAATTTGTTGTTCATAGTTAAAGACATTAAAAGAAAATCTTCATCATAATGATTGACAATTATCTGATACGTTGGAGATGGTGAGATAAATACCATGATGATCAATTAATAATAACCGTGACTTTATATACTGGTGCTGTTGGTATTATTGCAGAATGATTTTGAGTACGGTATGATATATATTTCTAAATGTACATATTTTTTTAAAATCTAGACTTTAGTTTTGCCACTCAGAGCAAAGCCAGCACTTTGGATGATGGCAAAGATTATTTTTATTTCGTATGGCGGGGTTGTTGATCACTAATGTTCCTATGTAGCTTGGTAAATATGAGATTCTGTCGGCGAATGATTTAAGATGGCAGTGGTTTGAGATTGCTGACTGCAGCCATGGTTTGATTACTCCAGTTGACATACAATCAATAACACGTGGTCAGATGTGTTGCGCTGTGAATGCAACCTACTATTAAGGGTGAGTAACTCAACATCTCAAGCACCCCACACAGTTGATCCTTAACAGATCTGCTAATCATCGGACTTTTGTACGGCACATTTTCTTATGTGTGGTAAAAAAAAAACAATTATGAGGTGGCAGCCAAAGGAGAGAATCGAATGTCGGCCCTTGATAACTTTTTTTAAACCTACATTTCTCATTTGAGTAAGCGCTGGATACATGCGACGAAATGGCACGTGCGTTGCGCCTAAGTCGGCTGTCCGTTTTGACGGCCACGTTTGCAGCACCGTGCTTACCTAGCGTTGGGTCATATTCCCCGATAAAGCGCCTGGTTATGAAGCGGACCGTCATCGCTGCAAGACACGATTATTACCAGCGAGACAGTTCAAAAGTCATTCGCATACACACGGTGATCCATTTATAAATACCCGACGAAATTATAATAACCCACTTCTCAACGGACGACGGAATATTCTGAAAGCGGTGGCTCCACGTCTTACAGAGGCACAGAGAGAGAGAGACGATTGCAGCATGGATGGAGATTCACAGATCTGTGGCATCACACACACACACAATGTCTGTTCCAGGATCTATATGGGCCCCACCGTAATTAAGATTATTTACAAATTGTATCGCAAATTCTGTGACGCAGCTTACATTAAAATGTAAAACAGAGCAACAACTTTAAGATCTGAGAACGTTGCGGGTACAGGATGCCACGCTTAAGAGCCGTCAATCACAATCTGTAATTGAAGTATTTTTCTCCGTTATATAAGTGAGGTATCTATAAAAGGGATCGCCCTGTGTATGTATAGCTGCCTGCAAACACAGACGTAATTATGGCCTTTATTTACCCAGAAAAGCCACACTGTGGCTCAAGATACTTCTTTTTATTATGGCCCTGCATTGGTGTGTTTATTTGCGAGTGGTTGGCTCGTGTGCGAGGAGAGACAACCCACGCACACGAGGGGGTAACATTCAAAGCTCGGCACAGACATTAAAAAACCCACTCTCATTCCTGGTAAATATATCTTCAATCACTCATGATCACTCAATATATTATATGAAATACAGTACATGATTAAAAACGTACACATTTTTTTGGTTTGCCGAGACACAGATTGTGAGAATAGGTTTTCCCCTTTTTTCTGGCAACAAAACAGGTGTTAGTATGTTAAAACACCAAACTGAAACCTTTTACAAGGAATCATGTCTGCATTAACCACAATACTTGTGGTCAGAATACAATCAAGAAACACTGATAATATATGTGGCATTGTCTTTGAAACTGATTGGTCCACACCAGAGACAGCTTTCTTTTGAGCCTCGTCTCAAAACGGCATTAGACCAGAGGACGCCAAAAAATGGAAAAACTATTCTCATATTTTGGTACTGGCAAAGGAGGTCACATGATGCGACACAGATTATTTTTGCTCTTTTGATTAAGTTTGACATTTCCAAATTTTATATTACGCAAATACATGTAATGAATAACATTTGTTATTTTCGACAACGATAATATAAAGTGACGACAACGGCTGTGCCTGCTTTACAATAATTATGCGGTGTCGACACTCTTTGCCACTGTCTGGTAATTAACGCAAGCGGCTGCATCAGCAGTTTTTTTGAATCAACACATTTTTTTGTTCTTCTTGTCAACTTGTTTTTAGCGGTGGCGCACACGAGCACAATCAACAAAAACAACAACAACAACGCATTCTTCAATAGCACTGCGCCACACGGAAGAAAAGAGACGTGGGTGGCAACGTTTCGGGAAAGGGCCCATCTTCATCGCAGAGAGATATGCAGAAAAAACATGTGGCCAAAACTTCGCCCAGGGATGCATGGGTATTGTTGTTGTTGTTTTAGAGCAGTGTCACACGGAACAGCAACTCCACATCTGTCATTTATCACTGATTCATAACAGAACAATATGCAGTCGGCTATTTGTTTTCCAGCCATTGCCACTGCCTCAGCGGGAGATTGACTTTCTAGCCGGAGATCGAACACCAGCGCTGTGGGGTTCTGACAAGTGGAACAATATTAACAGAGTCGATAACTTAAACGGCTCTTTTACATTGACGTGTGAACCATTTTCGATTCGTAGATAATGAATATCGAACACACGGCTGTAAGCGTAGCGGGAAGTGCGGTGTCCAGTCTCTTGATCACGAATTATGAATCCAGTCAATCTCTGTTCTGAAGACAGCGCCGTTGCCTGAAATGTCAGCTTGCTACTGATAGACTGCATCTTAAATCAGTGGTCGTGATGCACGTGGCGAGTCTTTTTTTCTATGTTATGTATGTTGATCTTCTTTTGCACCGTACGGAGCCACCCGTGATCATCCGAGGTGTGGGAGGAGGACAATAAACTAAACACAAAAGTCAGTTATAAAGAAATTGGTTTTCAATCTGGATTATTTAGAAGTGCTAGGCTCCAGTTGGCTTCCTGTTATCGGAAGGAAGAGCGTTCCAGACAGACGCAGAAGCGTATCTGAAAGCGCGCGATGCAGTCATCGTCTTTGTCCGATGGCTAAGCCAAAAGCCGCTGCGAGGATGACCGGAGATCGTGTGATAGTTTATGCTGCCTGACGAGATCAGCAACGTATTGTGGTTCATTTATGGCAAGCATTGTATGTGGAATGAGTGTTAGTGACAAAAGTCCTAAGTCCTGTACTAATGGCCTGCATTTTATGGCACCGTTTGGCACACACTTACCACATTTTATGACCTGGGTTGGTTCATTTATTTTGTAATAGGAACAAAAAACGTGACATTGTTACGACGCCTATTTGTGTTTCAAAGTAAAAGTACAATGAGCTTTTGTGTATGCGCATGAAAAGTAAATTGGCACATCTTTGCACGTAGCCATATGTCTACACGCGACTGCGATCGGGCAAGATGTGTTCATTTATCTTGACACAACCCACAGAGATTTATTTTATCACGCGCCGATATGAGCTGTGTAGCACGGTCTGAAGGTCTCGAGTCAAATTAAATAACACCAGCATTGCAGACGGTTATCCACTTATTCAGAACCATTCTAGTACTGCACCTGTGCTCTTGCTTACTTAAAGGATCGAGTTCAATTGCTCTTCTACAAACGTAGCACCGGGAGAAACACCGTGCGTACAGCGACATGTGAGTGACATTCCTGTGGCTGGTGGCGTAATTCAACATTATTTTCCCTTTGCATGTACCCCAGTGAAGTCTTGTGTACTGTTTTTACGTTGATACATGGCTCGTTTCGAAATGCTGTGGAATTTGTGCCGTATGCCTGCACGTCCCTATCACGTCTACGACATGAGTGCTCCACACGGAGCATTTCAACATAAGGTATTGTATGCAACTGTCTGCTGATTATTAAAAAAAAATTAACAACAAATGTTACACAATTGCTATTTGTCAAAGATAATTAATCTATGTGTGTACCAAACAGGCGTTTCTTTAGGTTGCCACAACACATGTGTGTTTTCCAAACATCTTTGCTGCCATAAACAGGCACGGATATTGCTCATGTAGAGGCACGCTCTTAATAGGATGTAGTTGAAATACAAATAACAAATGTTGGTTGACGGAACATCTCCGACTCCACCGTGCACGAACGTATACCACATGTCACACAGGCAGGCAGGCAGGAAGGCAGGCACGTGAATGGGCAGGTGTAGCAGTTGTAATACAGACAAAAAGACGAATTGATAGTTCGAAAGACGATGGCTAGAATATGTACCAGTATGACGGTAGAGAAAGACGGACTGACAAAAGGATGGACAAACATCGCAGTGTTTTAGACAAACTAATGGGTGTATGGACATATATACTCGTCCCAAGATACACAGCCAAGCAGATAGATACAGCGATTTTAACGGTTTTAAGTCTCGCATTGATAAACGGACGAAAGGACGCAGCAGTTGAAGTTTCAAGACAAACTAATTGTTGGAAAGACGGATATACCAGTTTTAAGAACGAGACAGACGGACAGACATAACAGCTAGAGACACAGATGGACAGATAGATAGATATACGTGTACACATTCTGATACAAACGGATGGAGAGGCGTAGCAGTTTTAACAGCAGGCAGAGACGCGCGTGACAGTTTTAAAACCAAGCAAGACGGACGGGCGGGTGGGCAGACGGAGAGGGCTGGAACCCGGGGCACCACGGACGATCCTTCACCCACCTGTCTTCCCCACTCCGCTCTGCCCCAGCACCACGAGGCGAGCTGCCCTCCCGGCTGCCCCACCGGAGCCTCGCTTGAGCGGCTTGGGCAGCGGGAAGGAAGAGTTCATGGTGACGGTGCCGACTTTACCCCCGGGGATTTTTGCGAGCTGAGGTTGCTGCTGCTGCTGCTGACGCTGCCGGGGTTTATTTTCTCTTCCCCACCACCACCACCACACCACCACCCCCCCCCGGTGTGTAAAGTCCACCGAGTAGGCGCGGAGACTTCACTCCTCCGAGTGGAGGTTGGCGGTGTTCGTGGCTGAGCAGTGAATCGTGAATAAAAAAACAAGCAGCAGCAGCACTCGGAGAAGGAGCGAAACAAATACAACGCTCTTCTCGTCTCTCTGTTTTGACACGTGCAGAGGGTTGTCCAAAAGGAACGTGCCGCGGTTAGTGGCGCCGGTTTGAGTTTCTTCTGCAACGTTCCGACTGCTACTCTCGTTGTTGTTGTTGTTTATGATGATGATGATGATACCGCAGGTGCAGAGAGCATCATCGGCGCCAAGTCGAAGATCCGTCGTCGCATGCCGACTTCGCCAGCTCGGCTCAGAACATTTGTGGCAGTGGCAGTCGCAGCAGCAGCAGCAGCAGCGGAGACGATGTGGCCGGTCTGTTCAAGAGTCATCACCGTTTGACGGGAGAGCCGCCCCGAGAGAGATTCGCATGAAAACCCGAGGCACTCCACCCCCCACATTCTACAAAGGCGAGGATCCAATGCCACACCTGTTGAAGGGGGAGGTTCAGCGGTGAAAAAGGACTCCTTGTTTTGCCGGGGGTGAGGGAGGAGGAGGGGGGGGGGCCTCAGTGCAGGTCACGGTGACGAGGAGTTGCTCTTCTCTCTGCGGGACAGCCGAGGCGAGCTGCGCCACTTAAAAGCCCGCTGGAATCGGGTGAACGGGAGCACGACGGAGGAGTGTGTGTGTCTGTGTGTGTGTGTGTCTGTCTGTGTGTGTGTGTGCCGACGGGAGGCGGGGAGCTCCTGGGAGGGCGAGGAGCCAAGGTGGGGGTGGTGATGGATGGGGAGGCACCACTAGCCACCTCTGGCTCTTCGCCGACACGGGCGAAAAGGCACCAAGTGACAGAGCCCTCTGGTGGCAGCTGGTCGCCTTTTTAGGGCCACGGAAGATAAAACAAAATATTCCTTCAGCTCTCGTCTTCTGCCCAATTAGTCCCGGCCGACAGGATTGGTGGGTACAACGTTTGCAGAGAGAGACAGAGATACGCACGTATTTTCATATTCCGCAGATGTTTCATATCACGTTCCTTAATTGCTGAAATGGTATTGTCAAATATGCTACGGTTACCCTTCAATGACATTTTGTCATTTAAAAAAACTACCTCGGTGGCCTTGCTATCATAAATATTTGTTATCTCGAGATAACGTGCCGTGAAAAATTAAAGCGAGCGTTTGGTACCCCTGGGTGGTACCAATAGTCATATTGGCCCAATAGCCCAAAGGCTAAACAGCAAATCTGTGGCTCAAACTGCCTCCATCCTGTCAGATCTTCATCTCTCTTAATTTCACTGTGCAGGCTAGTCCAGATGTCTTGTGACCACCATTTAATTCTTGAAAACGTTAAACAAATTTAAAGTAGTGTTTATTTATAATATAATAGAATATGCAAAGGGGAAGCAATGTTAGGGTTTAATTAATTTGGGGGGGGGGGGTGGGGCGGTCACAAGACATCTGGCCAAAGCTGTACTGTCCTCACTCTTAAATAACAAGAAGTGCCAATTTTTTTTAACGAATTCGGTAAAAACAACAACCCCTCTCAATATTTCAAGAGGCGCGATGCACTGTGGTGTATACGAGACGGTGGACCTTAATAAAAACGTCACGAAGCAGTCCTGGAAGAGCCGCACGCGACTCCGGAGCCGCAGGTCGCCAACCCCTGTTCTCGTCGCTTTGCAGCGTCTTCTCGTTTTTTCTCTATTTCGGACTGAACGTTACGTGACGGACCCACAATGTGACGCTGCGCCGTCCGACCAATTGGCTGGGTCAGTGACAGTGAATTCTTCACAGGCGATGCGTGACGTTGGCCACCGGCAGCGCCTACCGGTGTCTGGTGGAGATCTTCACTGCACTTGGCCGCACTTATGGGGTCATTTCCGTCAGCGCTCCTATCATCACCATCGTCATCCCTGATCAATCCACTGCTGGATGAAGGCCTACCCATACTGTCCCCATCCATCACGACCCTACAATGAAACAATCCACGTAGCACCAGCACACGAACCAATTTCATCGCTCCATCTCCTCTCAAATCGGATGTCCTCTCAAATCGGATGTCCTCTCAAATCGGATGTCCTCTCGGACGCATTACATAAGCACCCCTATATCACAGCATTATTATAAGAACCGTGATTGAAAGTTCCTTGAATTTTCCCTCTTTTCTGAATTACAAAGTGTCAACCTCCACAAAACAATCCTCCGATTAAATGCCTCCTATTAAGTGTGTTGTGTATCCATTGAACAAGGTAAAACACAATTCTGCTGATGAGGCTCCCTATCGGATTCATAATTATTGTACATTCTATATTGTGTTCCAGCACATTGCTTGACAAGTACTTACCTACTATAGTGTCATGTCGATCATATTCTGGCGTCTGACATTGACTTGGGGTTGAATTCAGAGAATGTGTCTAATTGCTACTGGAAATGTTTTCCTAAACAGTAGACCTGGGTTGCTATTTTTGCTGCTTGTGTAAACTGATTTACAAACCGCAGTCGATGTACGATGTGTGCAATTTAGAACATTATAGCAATTTACAGCATTCAAATTGCAGGCAATTCTCTAGATTTGCTCAGGACACCAGCACACAATGGCTTTTACTCTTTTCATTAATGCCATGGGGACCATTTACAGCGACGCACTTTGGAGACATAGTGCACTTATTCAGTAATAATGACCGTGCCACATTTATCGGCAAATTGCCGATAAACGCCCCACTCATTTCACAGCAAATAGCAGGTTATTTTAAATTGGTGCTGCTCAGCAACTGATAATTATAAATCTAATTTTATTTATTGCTGGCCAGCAAGCTCACATTTATTTCTAAAGCTTGGCACGCAATGTTATTTGTCTGCGGTCTTGCCTGTGGAATTTGTTTTTTTTTAATGCAGGCTTGTGTTTTAAGAAATAAAAAATTCGATGGGCTTCATGTCATAGTTTATTAGCACTGTTAGGTCAATTCTGCTGTTGGAGATGTTAACAGCTACTTAGCTGCGGTGGAAAAATGCACCGATGTGTCCATCAGTATCAGTTATTGAGCCTGAAATACATGCATTGAATCGCGCATACTTAGTTTATTATATTTACAAGTTGTACTCGTAACCATCAGCTGGCTTTGCCCAATTTATCTCGGCTTTAAAACGTTGGTATGATGATGGACACGAAAATATCAGCTTTAACCTCTCACTTCCAACAAGTACTGATAAAAACTTATCGCGGTGAGACTTTTTTCCAACTAATTAGTGTTACCTGATTTGTCGAGTAATGAAACTGATAAACGCTTGTCATTGATTACTCAAATAATGAGCCCAGCTCTATAATCAATCTTCACTCTGGCTTTCAACTTAAACCACTGCTGCATTGCATTCGCGGGGATTTGTGTAATTGCGATGGCTCATTATACTCTTCGAGCCGTGCCATCTTCACCGCATCTTGAATGTTGCAATTTGTGTGCAAGGCATGTTCAAAACAGGGTACTAAAACGGCACAGCATGTTTATCACTGGTGGGATTCCACATTCGCCAACCAATATGCAGAATTGATGATAAAAGGCAGCGTGACCGCATGCCTATACTTGATAATGTAATCACGGAGTCCAAATATGCACAAACTCGCTGGCGCTTATACACACATACACTAACGTCCTTTCTGGCTGACTTGAATCCATATTGGCTGGGGGAAAAAATGCAATCTCAGTAAAAAAAATCCAGCTGCACTCTTGGCTTAAGTTGACAATTTTTATCGGACTGATTTGCCTCGGGGGTGGGGGGGGGACGACGACACTGCATATACATTGGAATTTAGTCCTTTATCAACGCACTAGTGGATGAAGGCCTCCCAAAACGTTGTTAATCGTGGGTGTTGTTTGACCATACTTCACCACGCAGGTTAATACAGAGGTGGGGGGGGGGGCAGGAACTCTTCAGCTATCACTCACCACTGTTAGCCATGGCTAGGAATGAAACTCTGACCACCAAATTCATAGCAGTGCGCTATTGGTGCCACTGACCCACAATGGTAAGTCATAATACAATACTGTACTAGTTAAATGTGAGCCCGTTAGACTGGAATGGATGCATTGTGTGTGGCTTGGGAGAACTAATGTTAACGATGACAAATATTTTTTATTTAAAGCTTTCGTGACTGCAGGGATTCATATTCTTGGTTCTTTCGGTAAAGTCACGTAGAAGGGAAAATATTTTTTTTTATTATTTTATTGTTTCCCTTCTACGTGACTTTACCGAAAGAACCAAGATGGCAAATATTATTTGGAATCACTGAAGCAGCATTTTGGAGTAATGATTGTGTAAAGACGACTTCGATACACTTGTCTTGAGATGGTTTCTGTATTCAAGGAGCCATGTGCTCACACTCGAACAGGCGGAGACCCCCACCGCAACAGCCCCGAGTCTACCACGCATCTCCCTTATATATGGTCCAAGGCCACGCTCCCATCCCCGAACCTTCTCGCTGGTTCTCGACCACTCGATCTACCAGCAGACTCTACTGTCTTCTTCCGTCACCTGGCTACACTATTCTCATTCCCGTAGCCACTAGTCCATTCGCACTGTAGGCCGACTCCCCTGTCATTACCTCCCGTGGCCACTAGTCCACCCACACCGTAGGTTGACTTACAATATCATGTTGGCTGAAACATGCTAACTCTATTGATCCAGAACAGTTTCAATGATTCCCAAAACCATTTTAGGTCCTGCTTGGGATGATTTTGTGCCAAATCCTTATTGGTTACATGTGTGGGAGAAAACTGGAATTCTTGGAGAAAACCAAACATACGAGCATCTGCAGGTGGGTATGTGTTGTGCACACGATCTTGGTGCGATTTCACCATTAGCCATGGTCAATGCTCAACTGGATTAAGACCTCCCCAATCCTCCGCCATCTCACAATCCCAAACTAAAACTGTGTGCCACCACGCACAACAAACTTTAGTCGCATTATGTAACATTGTCATGAACGGCATTCATCGAACATATCTCAACAGGCGAAGCATTGAAAATCATCTTTTATTAAACAGCGGGAGTTACGAGACAACATTATACGATACAGTTACCATAATGTCAATAGCCACAAAGTGGCCTGGCCGTAATGAGACAGTCCTATGTTGCCACTGACACAGAGCACACACACAAGTCTCTTTATGAGGCACCTTTAAGATACAAATGTCCTAGCGAACGCGATGTGGAGAATGGAAACTGCCGGGCGTGCCAGCGCGTGCGTGGGAGGTCCCTGCTGGTCAGTTGCAGCGGGGGACGAACAGAGAGAGCGAGCCAGGCTTTGTCACAATGCGTGTGCTGCTGGAGGTTCAAGCGAGTGTGGGAGCGATGTCGATGGAGTTAATCCGTAGCACGGTCTGCGGCGTGGTCCTCACTGTCACCAAGACAAAACAGAGCCACATTCGCCGTTAAAGCAGCGGTCCAGCACCACTTCTGGAATCTTGTACAGTCGGCCAAATGTGTTTAAAATTCTAGAAGTGGATACAGCACTTATGTTGGTGCACAGGTGATTTCCTACTTAATGCAACTGTTACCCACTGATGTTTTGGCCAGTGCCCAATACATTGGCAGACTTTTTTTCTGTTTTAAGGTAGAGTTAATCATACAAGTGTTTTCCCCCCTTCCATAACAACACAAGAGATGAACTCTGAATGAGTTCCACAATTGAGGTGCCACGGTCACAAGACATTTAACTACCTCGCCTGGTATACAAATCACGGGTTCAATCCCGACCCTGACACCTGTATATTTGGCGTTTCTATGGTCTCCCCATTGTCACACGGATTTTTCCCTCCACATGTAGAAACAGGCACCGAGTATTTGGCTGCTATAAATTTCCACATGGTAAGCCACTTCGTTGAGCTATCATATGTGGCCAGGCCCCTTCTGCAAAAGCGTTATATTGCTCAGTAGGCCTTACCTGGCAAAATAGTAAAAAGGTATCTTTACAGGAACTCTCTCGGTAACTCGGCAGCGTGTAGTCGGGCACTGGCAACGGAGGGCACTGCTCGCCGCGGCCTGTAGTGCGCGGCACTCACCGTACTTGCGCTGCCATCTCTTCCTCCGGCGGAAGAACATGCGGATTTTCTCTACCGAGTGCGTCTTCTCGATCACAGTAGCCTCCACGCGCACCAGGTCCCTACTACTCGGACCGCACAGCACACGTAACGCGCGACATTTGCCATCGGTGGCGTCAAGCTGGTGAATAATTCTTTATTAATACACAGGGGGGTATATGTGCACCCCCGAACGGCTTTTGACTAAATCACCGGGAATGCGCCCCATCTCATAAGCTCAGCTGGATCCAGTCTGGAGAGTGATCGGATGGGTTACCAGCATGCGTCGAGTTGTTGTAGGCTACTGCGGGGCTACGTGGTGTACAGCAGAAGGCAGTACCGCGAAACCCATTTTATACTCCGCTTTGTGTATACTTCCAATCTTCACCAACCAACACTCACGTGGTGAAGTATGGTCAAACATCTTCCATGACCGAGACTGAGTGGGGAGGTCCTTCATCCAGCAGTGGATTGACAAAGGTTGTAAATTAAATAATGTGTTCTGAGCTGCCTTGGGTGCACTGGCAAGGTAAATATCAACAAAACACATACCGAGGCAGCGGTACGTATCTTCCTTTGAAGGTCAGGAAATGGTTCTAAAACTGTTTTTGCCGGCTCATATCCACAGACTTTTTTGCCAGAATTTTGTTTGAAAATACAGTCGTTTAAATTGGTTATTCAGTACTGTACGAGAAAGGGGCACATCCATTAACATAAATACGCAACGGACGTTGCTTATGAGCACAGCATTGAACGAACCGTCGTCTATCTGCTAATTCATAATGCAGGGGCACAATATTAGCAACCTTAAATTACACCTCCCTGCTCATGCCCACATCACCACACCCAAAAGCATACCTGTGGCCATTCCCACATTGACAAAACAAACCATAACAAACAAACAAAAATGTATCCTGCAAGGAGTTGGCCAATGCCAACTGCCTGGTGTGCTGTACACCGGGGAGCCTCGTTATAAATGGTTTCTCTATTAACGGCATGGGAAAACCTCACGGCCTTGGCGTGTATTCAGAAACAACCAAAAAGGTCGGTGACCCAACGTACAGTGGGAGGCGAGCGCACGGCTGCAGCTTTAAGAAGCTGTATCTACCGAGCTTATTTGTCTTTGGCCTCTGCGGTACCGGGGGCAACTGCTAGCTCAATTCTCACGAGCCCGGCAGGCACAATGGTAAATCTTTCACTGCCCGGGCATCCTGGAAAGCGGCAGGACTGCAGGCACGTGCGTGATTTGCAGTTGATGGCTCGTCGCACTCGGTTGCACGTGTTTGTGTTTCCGTAGCGCAGTGTTAAGAGCTGTCCGTGTTACAGATGCTTCCTCGAGGCTAAGGTTAAGCCAGTGCAGCCACAATCCGAAAGCCTATTTATGCTCTGCACATTGAAAACAGTTGCACCCAGAACTGTTTTGGTTAAACCCAGCTGTAAGTGAACTTTACATCACCATCCTCGGCCAATCCACTGCTGAATGAAGGCCTCCCCAAGCCATCGCCATCTGTTCAGGTCCTGCGACGCAATAATGCATCCAGCTACACGAGCTGGGCCCTCAAGTGGTCATGATTATGATGGCATTAAAAAAAGTACTTATTAAAGAAAATATTACACATTATCCATTTCCATAGCGGAAGCAATGATTCTAAAGCACAAAGTCGCCTTTTGGCGTCATCTGGTCGAGTACCAATTGGGTCGAAGCTCAAAAGAAAGCCGTCCCTTGGTGTGGTCCAATCAGTTTCAAGGACAATGCATATATTATCATAGTATGTTTTTTGTTTGCATTTTGACTGCAGGTATTGTGGTTAATGCAGACATGAATCCTTGCAAAAAGGGTTCAGTTTTGTTGCCAGAAAAATGGAAAAAACCCTATTATTAGTTCTTAACCATTGCATATTTTCCTTTCCAGGAAAAAAAATGTGACAATCCACACCATCAACTTATAATAAGATGTATATTGCAAAGTTATAAAAGTGAAATTTGAGTCTTGGGCGAGTTCGTGTGCAAATATTGATGTACGACTTTGACAATCTTTCCGACTCGCTTTTGTACGGGCATGCTGGCGTTTTTCTTAGTGTGTAAACTTAGCGATTATACGTTTTCTTTTTTTATATTTATCGCTCAAGTCAGTAGTCTGGACACGTACTCGAGCAGCGGTCGGCCCAGCAGTGTGAAGTTCTCAGCTCCCACAAGCATGACCTGTGCATTCATGTCAAAAGCAGACAAGACCAACGCATAACAAAATCAGTCAAGCTTTATATTTGACAATAAAAGACACCGTTTTCACACAACGATCATTTTACAAAATGATTTTCTAGTATGACAGTAAAGAACAAAAAGACATGGTTTTCCACATTTTATCCAAATTACATTACTTGCATCATGTCATGGGACAAAGTATCCGTTGCGATCTCTCACAGGGAAGTGCAATCCTTCATGTTAGAGAATGACCCCCGGGAAGCAGATATCACAGAGCTACCTCTGAGATCCTGTCATAAAAAATATATCTTTATTGTATTAACCATACCAGTGTGCACATGTTCCTGTATTTTACTCTCCAATGTGTCACAGACCATTGATATCGTAAATGTGAATGACATTAAGCCTATGACTAAATCACCCAAAATGCAACAAAGCTCGTTAAGATTTCAGAAGCTAAGCACGCTTGAGCTTGGACTGCTTAGAAGGATGAACACTATGCACAGCAGAGTGTATGGCTTTATAGTGTGGTGAAATACACTTGCACTGTACTATCTATCCTCCCAGATCTACAAACCCAGACTCATCAGCACGGTAAAGTGCAGTCAAATCACCCCCATGATCCTCATGGCATGCGGAGGCCCTCATTCAGCAATGTATTGACAAAAGGGCTGTCCATGTCAATTATATATTTCAAGGGTTACTCATGCATCATCTGCTTGTACCAAGGATATCTGTCGAATGTAATTTTTTTCCAGTTTCAGATTTTAAAATGTTCAGTGTTTGTCTTTTCCAGCATATGCTGTTTCTTGTTTCCTGTTAATGCGATCAGGTATGACTTCAATGTAGTCGAAATGATGGCTTACAATGTTCCCAGGGAATCATTATGTTCCCATTGCTCTAAAGAATCATTATGCTCACATTTAATCATTATATTCATATGTTCCCCTAAACGCATTGCACCCTTTGCATAATTACGTTCCCATTGTTTCTGAATAAATCAATACGTTCCCAATTAATATTTAATTCATATTTAAGTTTTCATCGTTCACTTTTAATTAACGCGTTTCTTGTGAGGGGCATTTCAAATTTAACCAAATGCCGCCAACCGGGATCGGGATCCCTCACCTTCTCCATGCGGATGCGGTCTCCACACTCGGCCTGAAACTCATGCTCGATCAAAATGAGGTCCGCCGCCGTCACCTTGAACTGCTTCCCCGAGAAGTGCACCACGGCAAAGAGGCGGCCGTAATCGCCCCCCGCGATCTGGTCGTTCACCGTCTGGACCACCACTGGGCAACCGCACGGCAGGGCAACACAAACATCGCGGCGTCGAAATGACCAGAGCGGTAAAGTATGGTCAACTAACTCCCCCGACGGCGATGGAACGCACGGCGTGGGGAGGGCCCTCATCCAGCAGTGGATTGCCGAAAGCGCTATACAACAACAATGTAATCCATTAACATCTACACCTAAAAACTCTTGTTAATGGCGAGCGTTTATACAGATTCAAACCCATTCTACCAGCAATACTGGTTTAGTGTGTTGGCACGGTAACGACCTCCCTTACCTATACGGCCACCGATTATTGGCACACTTTTGAGCCAAGATATTAGACGTTAAAACTGCCTTATTCTGTACTGTAAATATTTTAAGTACATGTTCCTCCATAAACCATTTTTCTTCAGAACCAAACGGTTGTATATTTTTATTTGTATGCAAGAAAAGGAACACTAGTGTTCATGGCTGTGATGTAATGGAGTACCCAAAAGCATTGTAAGAGGTGTTGCATAACTGAGACAGATTTTGGGAAATGTGAACCTCATTAAGACAAGAATAATTACAGCTTTTTACAAAACCCAATTCTGGACGAAGGCTTTCCCACACCGTGTAAGTCGTGGGGTTGTTTGAACATGCTTCACCACAGTGGATAGTGCATGTGAGTACAGGGGGTGGGTGCGCCAAATAATGGTTCAGGTAAATTCGCCACTAACGTCTGTTTTGGCCAGGAATCGAACTTGGGTTAACGGATTCATAACACGCAGTGGCAAGATGTTATCTCCCTCTCCTGGTATGCATGAGGTTGTGGGTTCGAGCCCAACCCTGCTGCCTGTATATTTGATTGCATGGAATTTTATCCGGGTCCTCTGGTTTTTTCCCTCCACATTAAACAACATATGATAATAAAATGACTTTGATGAGCTGTCCCGTGTGGCCAGATTGCCTCTGAAAAAGAGCTCATAGCTCTGTGGGCTGTACCTGGTAACCGAAATAGTTTACATTTTCTTGCTGTGGTTTTCACACCTGATGATGATTGCTTGTGTTGCAGTCGAAACGTCGTGAGAATGTTATTGTTTCCCTTCTACGTGACTTTACCGAAAGAACCAAGAATATGAAAGTTTAGTTTATTACCACTGTTCCCCCTTACTCGATAAGTGAAATGTTTTAACATGTTGTCATTGTATGCAATAGGAAGGCACGATCATTACCTTGGTGGTATTTCTTCTCTTCCTCTGGGTCTGGTAAAGTCACCTCTTTCCACGGAGGTTTGGAGAGGGATGTCACAGCCTCTTTTCTGTACAAAGCACACCAAATTTATCGTCATGTTCCTACACGCGTATGCTCCAAAAAACGACTCAACCCCCCTAAACGAGCCGATGATTATCTCTACGATGTCTTTTCAGGTCGTCACCCGGGCTTGATCAGACATCGTGTCGATCAGACATCGTGTCGATCAGACATCGTGTCGATCAGACATCGTGTCGAACGACACGCGGTACAACCGGAGAACCACATCGCAGAGGTAGATATATATACAGCACAAACGCGAAAACCTTAGCGGTCAGAGTCAATGAATTAATTTTCTTAATTTGGGGGTCGCAATTTGATATAAGAATTGATTATTTGTGTCATCTTAATACTCTGGTTTTTGTATTATTCTCACAGTTGTCTCCTCCCCTTGAGCGTGTGACATTAGCATATAATTTCAACCGATATCCGTGTGGTTTGTATTATTTTTAATTAGCGATTGTTACAAGGACAATTATTCTCATGCATTGTGAGCATATCCATCAATTCCAATAAAAGAATCATTATGGAGCCTACTTAACGGAGTACATTTGCAGTCTATCACATTAGCAACACTGACCAGACCGCATTAGTTTTTAATGACATTATAAAAGATGGCACTTTTGTATAAAATAATTACCCAATAAATATTCTTGGTTCTTTCGGTAAAGTCACGTAGAAGGGAAACAATAAAATAATAAAACAATAAAATTCTCACGACGTTTCGACTGCAACACAAGCAATCATCATCAGGTGTGAAAACCACAGCAAGAAAATTTGAAAAAATTGGTTTTCACACCTGATGACGATTGCTTGTGTTGCAGTCGAAACGTCGTGAAAATTTAATTGTTTTATATTTTTATTCTGTTATTGTTTCCCTTCTACGTGACTTTACGGAAAGAACCAAGAATATAAATCCCTGCAGTCACGAAAGCTTTAAATCAAAATGACCCAATATTTTAATAATCACAAAATTAGTCTAAACTCCATTCTGTCGGATCGCCTTCAACAATAACAATAGGTGAAGAGGGGGGGGGGAGCTCACATGGGTAGTGTGATGGTTTTCTGTGAGCTCTCTGAGCACTGATGCCTGCTCACGAACACGTTCGCAAGCACTGCGGAGACACGGACACAATCAAGGCTCAACACGAATGACAACATGCAATAAACAAGTTACACCGTCAATGGAATTTCTCAATTGCGATAAGGCAACATTTAATCCGTCCACCGATGTGGATCTACAACCACTGTAAGCTTCATCATCAGCCGTGATCTATCACACTGCTAGATGCAGGCCTCCTCAAACCTGTCGAAATCACTCAAGTCTTGCAATTTTATCTTATATTCATATATCAGCAATGGACGTGGATACAAAGGTCAAACTCTCCCTTCTCGTTCCGGCAAAGGGTAGCTGGCCCTTGGCCAGTAGTGGAAATTCCACATTATGACGGAGATCAGTCTCTTCACAAGTCTACTATACTCCAGATGTACAATAATGCTAATGCAATAAAACAATGTACAGGAAGGTTGTCAATCCACTGCTATTAACGTATGGGTCCGGTCTATGGTTAAGGATTACTTGGGGCTACGAGTTATCCTTGAAGCTGTGATTCTGCGTTAGGGTTTCGGATCTCGGGTTTAAGGTCATTGTTTTGGGCTAGGGGATGGAGCTATGTAGTACGAGCCAGGGCTGAGGGCAATCAGTCACAGATACTGTATATGTTTACGCTTCGGGCTATGGGTCAACGTTCAGCGTTATGGTTTACAGTTAAGGTTTGGGGCTAAAGTCACGTTTTAAGGGCTACGAGTTATGATTTAAAGTTGAGGGTTAAGGTTAACTCTTCGTGTTGGGGTTTAAGGTTAAATATGGGAATTCGATGTTTGGGTTGAAGGCTTAAGGCTACGGGGAAATGGTTCGGAGTTAGGGCTTAACATTAAGGCCCGTGGCTTATGGGTCAGGGTTAAGTCATGGGGTTATGGTGTTAGGCTATGACTTAAGACCTTGGGTTAAGGCTTGGGGATGGGATGTGCTCTAAAGGTTCAAGCCCTTGGGGCCAGGTAAGGGGTGAGGTTTGCGTCGCTGCTGCCCGTCGCCCCCTCACCTCGCTGCGGCGCCTGCAGGGGAGCGAGAAGCTGGCGGCCCCGGGAGCAGAGCGGCCTCAGCACAGACGACACGAGCCTCACGCCCGGCGTAGACATCTCCGGGCGTGAGAGCTCAGCGGGGACAGCAGCGGCGGTGGCGGCACAGCGACAGTGGCCGCACGTGTCACGGGCGCCACGGGGAGACGCGCGCCGCCGCCGCCATCTTACTCAGGGAGGCGAAGGGGGGTGACGTCACCAGAAGTGTCGCGCGCGCACCCTCTCCTCCCAACCCCTCCCTCTCCTTCCCCCCTCTCCCTCTCCTTCCAACCCCCCTCTCCCCCATCTCCACTCCCCCCCACATCACGCGCCAGCGGGTGGGGGATCGTCTCCCCTTACAAAGATGGCGAATGACCACCCCTCGTACTGTCCGGCGGAAATAATTTACGTTGGCAAGGTCATTCGACCCCCAGTTCTCTGTTTAGGGTTATGAATGCACACGTGCGCGTGTGTGTGTGTGCGCAACGTTGATTAAACGTTAATTAAATCACTCTGGTTATTATCGTAACGGTTTAAATTTTCACCTGCAATGGGTATCGGTAACATGTATATGTTTCTGAGTTAAATCCGTAAATGTAAACGATATATATTTGTATGCTGCACGGCGCTGTGGGGCCCTTTAAGGGGCGGATGGGGGCGCGGAACCAATTTACAGACACCGGTGTTAAGGTTCCGGGTCAGCGGTTGGCTTATATTCTTTGAAGTCTTTAACGGGGGTTTAACATCTTGAAGTTATTGAACAAAAACTTCAGTCAATTATAACCACAGTTAATCTCTATTTTTTATACGTAATAATATTGTTCGCGTTTTTAGTTGAAGTTTCGTTTGAGTGTTAAAACCATCGCAAGGGCCTGATGCGCGTGTCAATGGAGATAGGAGGGGAAACCTGCAGCCCTTTTAACTCGTTTATTTTGATCTCTTATATCGCGTAACAAACATACAATAACTGTTATAACATTATTAACGATGATGTCCATGGAGAGCTTTATTGTGAAGTGGCAGGAGCTGTTGAAGGAGGAGAGGGAAGCTGAGATAGAACAAGCCAAGTGAGGCACATTTATTTACTCTTAATTGCTTGTGCAGTAATGCATTCTATTGTTGTGATATGCATATAAGTTTAATGCGCAGTGCCATAATAATGTAGCAACACTTATAATAGTATACACTTCTTATAAATCACATTACATTGCGTACAATAGTTGTAAACTCGTGAACTGTCAGTTTACCATATACTGTACAACTACCATAATCTCATGAATTAACTCATAACATGTTTGCGTTATACGCATCATTATACACAATAGTGCCGTACAATAGTAATCATCTCATGTTGCCATTGTACATTTCATTATGAGTTCCCAATAACTTGGGGTCCCTTTTGTCAATCCACTGCTTTATGCTTTATTTCTTCACGCCGTTTCGGCCGTCGGGGGTTGTTTGACCATACTTCACCACGGTGGTCAGTGTTGGTGAAGGGGGAATGGGGGGGGCAGGATCGTTTCAGATATAATAAGTAGCCACTGATGAAATCCGTGGCCGAGAATCTCACTGGGAAGCGGGTTCAAAGTTGGCCACACTTTGTCAAATCTTTGACTTGGTGGTCAAAACTCTGAAAACGCCAAAATGATGGCCACGTGTTCAATTGTTTTGAGCTGGTGGTCTGAATATGGCTGACAGTTTTATTTGTGCATGCATTGAACGTGTGGTGTTAAGTCTGGATTCATATTGCAGCTGATGAAAAACAACCTTGAAGACAGAGTGAAACTAGCTCTTATTGGCAATGGTGTTCTCGGTTAAATTAATTCCAATGATAAGATAAAATGGTTAAGCACCGCTTTAGTTACACTGGAAATACAGGGATAATTTAAAGATGGAGTGTTATTTCCATGAAAACCAAATCTATGTTATTTTTTTAACCAATATATTAAAAAGATAAACATTACACTGAAGCTCACGAATTTTGGAATGCACTATCCACTGCTAAAATTCGCAGTCACTGTGTGATAATAAACTAGGACTGCATGGCATGTGCCACTTCTGCAGAGTGTGGAGACAGCTTACAACATGCCAGCTTTGCTTTGCACACTACACGATTCAGTTTTTGATCTTCGGGAGTGCTGCTGTACAGCTCATTCATGTTGACTGTTTTTTCTCAGGTCATGGCAGCAGGGAGTGCCTCTCAAGGAGCTGCAGCGCCGTGGCATCTGCCTTCTGCGCTTACACCTCTGCAACAGGCGTACCGGCCTCTACGGCCGCCAGCTGCTGAAATTCGCTGCCCGGGGCGGTGCGCCTGATTCTAAGCTCCCCAGCAACGACTTCGGACCAGGTACGGCAACAATACTGCTGCGTGGCAGCTGCTGTTGTGTTGAGCGGTTGTTGTGCTGCTGGTGGTGGTAAGGGGCTGTGGTGGAGGTGCCTCGCGGTGTTGCTCATGGTATTCATGCATGTGATAAGGGGACCTTAGTGGCGGTGTGTTGTTGTGTTAAATATTGTGGATTGTTCTCCAGCATAACTGGTTTTGCTGAAGAAATTATGAATTTGGCTGTGTCGGGTAGAGGAGGAATGTACGACACATTGGCGATGCACTCGCCGCGTGATTTGACCCCAAGAATCATGATTTTGGTCACGAAAGCCCACGTGTCAAATCGGTTGTTTCACGCTGCTCATGCTGGCGCTGCCGGCGTGTTGCAGGCGACATCGTGGGCCTGTACGAGGGCGCGCGCGACGCCGTGGAGGCGCAGCTGGCGTCGGGCGTGGTTACGCGTGTCTCGGCGTCGGCCGTCACGGTGGCGTTTGACGAGGCGCACGACGCTCTCGACCTGAAACACGACGGGCCCTACAGCCTGCTCAAGCTGGCCAACGACGTCACCTACAAGCGCCTGAAAACGTGCGCGCCTGCCGCTCGCACGGGCGTCACACACGGACACGTTGGGCCCACTCCGGGTGATTTGATCAATGACGTTATTGTTGTTGCTGTCCTTATGGGTTAAGAGATTGGAATCAATCTCTCCCTTATAGCATGCTGTGGAAACATGAGTGAATGTATTTGTTTACGTAAGTATATTTTAGTGGACGTAAATAAATCTCATTATAATGATATTCTCATGATATTCGATGATTAAATGTAGGTGTCTTTGCCAATGTCTTGTAGTACTATGTGGTTACTGAAATAACATTTCTCTTACTGAGGGTTAAATGCTTAAACAATTTCAAGTGGGTTGAATAAAAATCTGAATGGCCATGAATTTCATGGCGAATCTCTAATTGCAACTTTGACACTTTCATGTCAGATTAACTTTATATAATCCGATAATTTAACATTGTTCTTTGGAATAAAAAAAAAATTGTAGATTAATTGAGAAGTACTTTGTATGTGCTCAGTTTCATCAGTTTTTTCTGATAACATTTTTTTAAATCTTGAGAATGTATTCTCTAGAAAAAAACGTCGGATTTCTAAGTCAATTGCAACAAATATATATTAAAAAAACTATCCTGTAGATATGTAGCTTAGCTGTTCATCATGGGGTTTATGACGTGTTTGCAGCTTTGTCAATTATAACGTTTAATACTTGTTTCTGGCAGCCTGGGACACAGCGTCAGTACATCCGTATCTGCGAGATGAGCAATATCAGCTTTTGTTGGTTGCTAGTTGCTTTGTGTTTGTGACAATGAAACGTAAATTGTGCCTCCTTGTTTGTGTTGCAGTGCCCTCACAGCCCTCAATAATCACCATGGGGGACCGTCAGGACAGATGATCTCCGTATTGTTTGGGACCTCCGAGCCCAGTGCTCCTCTGGCACACACAGGTACAGGGACAAAATGTGCCCTGCAGCGTTCTCACGTTGCAGACAACATGCTGTTTCTGAACATTTATCAGCATCACCACAGCGGTGTAGCTATCGAGTATGCAGGCTGCGTACTGCACCAGGGCCTACAGAGCTTAGGAGGGGTCCAGTCACCAGAATACGAAGAAAGGGATGTATTTTACACAGGGCCCAACTTCATTCCTGCTCCAAGGCCCATAAAAAACACTCCATGCTACTTAGATGTAGCACTGTATGAGGTCACCTTTGTGTTCTCAGTGCAGGTGCCAATGTTAGTGGAGGCCCAGGTCAAGATCAAAATACACATGGCTAACAATTGTAACAGGTTAGGTACCAGTATGAGACTAATTTGATCAGGTCATGTCTTTAATTATTGGATTAAATTAATGTTGAAATTTAAGCCATTGTAACTTATAAAGATTCAAAATCCTTCCATTGTGCTTTATAACTTAACTTCCTTCCTATACAAATTTCTTTATTTTATTAACAATTTGCTAACTATACCATTTTACTAATTTTATTTTGATGGAGGAACTTTAATAATAACAATAATAATCATGGTCTACACCCCTTTGTGTTAAGAGACATGGTATCATACATTATCTAAGCAAGCTCTGACTTGCCTCGGGTTAATGAAGTACTCGTGCACCATCGTCATTGCTTGATTGTTGTGCATCATGCAGGACAGGTGGAGTTTCTAAACACGGCTCTCGACCACTCTCAGCGCGAGGCCGTGATCTTCGCCCTGGCCCAGCGGGAGGTGGCCATCATCCACGGGCCGCCGGGCACGGGCAAAACGACCACCGTGGTGGAAATCATCCAGCAGACAGTGCGGCGTGGAGAGAAGGTATTCCAGGGTTACATTGTGTTGTTTCATGTCGCCAGCAGCCTCTGGGGTAGCGTATGTGCTAGAAAGATTAAATAATAACAATTTTCAATCCTTTGTTGGTGACTTCTCCTTGCTCATACCAAGACACAATGCTCACCGTGCAAGCTGCACCTGTTCAGCTCGCACCACCACACCAGTATCGGACGTGCGTTCACGTCACCGTTGCGCCGCAGGTGCTTGCGTGCGCGCCGTCTAACGTCGCCGTGGATAACCTGGTGGAGCGCTTGGCGTGCGCGGGCGTGCGAGTGCTGCGGCTCGGCCACCCGGCCCGCCTGCTCGACTCGGTGCGCAGCCGCTGCCTGGACGCCGTGCTTGCCCGCGGGGACGACGCGGGGATCGTGCGCGACGTGCGCAGCGACATGGACAAGGTTCACGTAAGGAGCCACGCCGAGCCCTCCTGCTCGGCACCATCACTTCTATGCGAGGGCACGAATCCTCACTACGCCACTTACACATGGATACTGCGGTGCGGTTTATGGCTATTTAAGCTTGGCGGGAAGCTTTGTCCATATTCTCCCATGAGCTGGAACCCTACATGAGGCTTACATGTGTGATTAGTTCGAATTATAATCGTATATGTCTACGTTAAATCCAGGATTGTGTTACTATGTAAAAGTATATATGGCACTACGAGGGATCTGCATGCATATGTGTGTGTATGCATATGTGATGTTTGTGGGTAGTGTAGCGGTTAGCGGGCTGTGCTACGAACCCGGTGTCCCAAGTTGGATTCCCACTCACGGCCACCATCAGTAACGACTATCTGAACCGATCCTGGGCCTCCAAATGAGTACCTGGTTCAGCGTGTAAACATCACCATTGGGGAGCAATTGGGCGTGGTGCTGGCCACCCACCCCCTCGTGTACCATGCCGGCCTTCAGAGGTGCTCGCCAAAAGCACTTGTCCCGAAAGTATATTAAAGATATAAGGGTGATATTTTTCTTTGTGCATGTGTGTACGTACGCGTGTGCATGTGTTACTGCTCACGCAGGCCAAGTTGAGAAATGGCTCGGAGCGAGGGGAGCGCGCGCGGCTCCAGGCGGAAATGAGGAGCCTCCGCAAGGAGCTGCGGGAGCGCGAGGACACTGCCATGAGGAACATCCTGCAGAGTGCTGACGTCATCCTCGCTACAACCACGGGTGACTCAGCCTCCTCATCAGCGTCTGTCACATTTAAACTTCACACTTCACGGGCGTCACAAATCAGGACGCCCACCAGGTGATCGGGGTGAAGTAAACTGCTATCGTCACTGACAAGCTGAAAATGGTCCGTCCGACAGGTGATTTATTTTATTGACATTTAGTGATGGCGTCAGGCCCGGAGTTTTTATTGAGTTGTCATGTTTTTTTCCAAAGAATACAGCATGTATGTAATGATTCAGCCTGTGCTCTCAGCGATGCATTGAATTGGTATCGTGATTCAATTAAAAAAAATCTTTATCGTACATTTTTTCACAATGTCATTTGTATTGTTTCTTATTTTGTCCGTCGTGTTTTACCAGTTTTTTTTCACTCAATTTGTCCGAGTATAGAATCAGCTAAATCATTAATTAATGGTTTCTTGCATGCACAATTCAGGGCGTCAAATTCAGGGCGTGAGAGACGATCACGTTGGCCCTGCCACACAAAACTAAATTGATAACATTTTAAAACATTTCTATGTTATTATGATGTGTCAGGTCTTGCTTGTAAAAACAAAGATGATGTGTGTAAATTGTTAGGTGAAGTAACAGGCATTTATTGATGGAAAAGTAATTGTTCTTTTATGAGAACTCCACATGATGTTGTGTCGAGACAGCAATGGGTAAGCCAGGGTTGGTGCACTCAAGTAATCCAGTGCTTTGGTGGCTTATATTTGTGAACCTCCCAAACCTGCTGGGCTACAAGGTTCATGATCCCAATGTGCGTGAACAATATCCCCTCACCTGCATTGGTTTTGTCTAGGTTCCTGCCACACAACACACTCCTTATGAAGGAAATGTGCAAACATCCCAATCTGAAAATGAGTCTTGACTTTCAGCGAAGCTTTCTTGGATAAATAAATTCCACAATTTTTATTATAGCGATGAGGTCAGGGTACATTGTCAGCAGAGGACAATGCGGTAAAATCCATTGTTTTACTATACTATGCTGTAACGTTTATGCTTTGTGCCTTGACAGTGACCTGCTTGGTGAAATACAGTCAAACATCTCCCATGACCCTCTCCGTGTGGGGAGCCCCGCGCCCAGCAGAGAATTGGCAAAACGGCTGTACGCGTATGCGTGTGTCTTAACGGTGGGTGCGGTGCGATGCAGGCGCGTGGGCTGGGGGACCGCTGAAGCTACTGCCCCCGGCACACTTTGCCGTGGCGGTCGTGGACGAGTGCGGGCAGGCCGTGGAGGCCGCGTCGTGGCTGCCGCTGCTGCAGGCCCCACGCTGCGTGCTCGCTGGCGACCACCGACAGCTCCCGCCCACGATCGTGTCCCAGAGGTGCTCGCCCCCCTCGCCTTTCACACTCATTCGGGCCACCGTGTCGCGCGCTTTCAGATGCGCTTCGGCGGCCATCTAGAACGATCTTCCTTCCGATGTTAGGAAGCCACTGGATCGATGCACTTTTAAATCTAGATTGGAAACTTATTTCTTTATAATTGCTTTTTGTGTTTAGTTTGTTGTCCTTCCCCCACACCTCCAATTAGCACGTTTGGCTACGTATGGTGCTAAAGAATTTCAACATACATACATTTGAAAGATGCCCAGATTTATGTGTGACACACAGACCATCCCTTTTGTAACTTTTACCAGATTTTTGGGACAGAGTGTTGAGCACTGATTAAAGTACTCATTTAAGGCTGGTCTCAGGCTGAGTCAACCCAGGGGATTCAGATATTTGCTACTTATGTTGGTCATAGGCAGCAATCGAACTCAGGTTGATGAATTTGTAAAACAGAGTGCCTACAAGCACTTTTTTATACAAATATTCGTGGTATAATTTTATCACATGCTGATAGCAAGTATCCTCACTTTTGGTGTTGATAAGTGTTGGCAGCCTAGGTTGGCTATCATTCACAAAAAAAACTTGAACCTCAGTGTGTGTGTGTGCATGTGTGCCTGCATGCACGTGTGTGCATGTGTGTGTGGAGTGATGGTGTCGCGGTTAGCGCGCTGCGCTATGAACCCGGCGACCCGAGTTCGAATCCCGCTCATGACCAACACCAGTGATGATTATCTGAACCGGTTCTGAGCCTCCCCTAGGTCGAATCGGGCTTTAATGAGTACCTGGTGTGGTGTGTAAACTACTAGGGAGACAAAGGCGGTCGGGCTTGGTGCTGGCCACGCACCCCCTCGTGTTCTGTTCCGGCCTTCATAGGTGCTCGCTAACAGCACTTGCCCCCACAGTCTGGGAAGTCTATAACGGGGGATCTTTGTCTTTGTGTGCATGCAGGGCGGCTGAGGGCGGGCTGGCCGTGAGCCTCATGGAGCGTCTGGTTGAGCGGCTGGGCTCAAGTGCCGTGCGTATGCTCACCGTGCAGTACCGCATGAATGCGGCCATCATGGACTGGGCCTCACAGCACGTCTACCAGGGCAAGCTGGAGGCCCACCCCTCCGTGGCCTCACATCTGCTCAAGTGAGTGCCCACCGTGTGTGCGTCACGTTCTGCGCTCCGAACTTGGCGACAAATTATCTGAACCAGCCCTGGGCCTCCCCTAGGTTTACTCAGTCTCAAATTAATGCCTGGTATGGTGTATAAACATTACCGCTGGGGAGACGAAGGCAGTCGGAAGTGGTGCTCGCCACCCACCCCCTCGTGTGCCGCTCTGGACTTCATAGGTGCTCGATGACAGTATTTGCCGCAACATTATGCTTAGGTTATATAGGTGATCTTTGTCTTGGTGTTGCATGTACTGCCAGCAAACCCCGTCACAGAACCAAGCGCCGGTGTGAAGGGAAAGGTGGCAGTACGGAGGGGCACGGCGATGAACGTCTGTGTGTTTTCCCGGCAGGGATTTGCCCGGCGTGGAGGCGACGGATGAGACGGCACTGGCGCTGCTGCTGGTAGACACTGCCGGGTGTGGCCTCCTCGAGACGGAGCTGGCGGGCGAGCAGTCAAAGGGCAATGCCGGTGAGGAGGCGGCCCTGTCCTGCCCTTATTTGCTGGGCATAAATATTCGGCATGGAACGATTCGTACCCATGAATGATGATCTTTCAAAAGGTGTGGGAATTGGTCGAATTGAATTCATTTATATTTTGTCTTGTTCCTGTAGTTTTGTTTGTCTCATAGCTGTACTGTACCTTGTTCATTTCCATGTTTATTTGTTGCACGGAAAATTCGTTTTGCCAGTTTCCCAGCGAGTTCATAAGGGAGAGCCAGAACAACAACAACGTCAAAGTTACCCATACGAAGGAACCAGGCAACATTGGAGCAGAATGCATAGGAGGCGCAGGCAAAAATGTCTGCGTAAAGAACAAAAATGTAAAATGTTAAGAATAATGCGGTTAAAACAAACATTAGCAATATTAATCATGTAAGCAGGCATTGCACCAAAATCAAGGATGAGGTAATCGTTGGAGAGGCGGTTGTGAACGCGAGACGAAGCGAACTCGATCGAGCGAATAAACCAAACTTCGTGTGAACACGAAAAGTAATGGCAAGCAGGTTGGGTACCATACGTGTGTGTATGTATGTATGTTGAACTTTTTTCGCACAGTACGTAGGCAATAGTGCTAATCGGAAGTGTGGGAGAAGTTCAATCTTGAGCTAAAAGTGCTTAGCTCCAGTGGCTTCCTAATATCAGGAGGAAGAGCGTTCCAGATGGCCGCAGAAGTGCATCTGAAAGCACTCTTATGCAGCAACCGTCTTTGTTCGATGGCTAGCCAACAGCCATTGCGAGGATGACTAGAGTTTGCTTGATGGTTTATGCCACCAAACTGTACATTCTGAGCTTGGAGTGGTTTGAGTGGTGGAGGGAGGGGAGGCGTGTCTACTGTGGCATCTGTGTACTCTGTATAATTTATACTGTCTTGTTTGTACTGTTTTGTCTACCCTGTCTGTCTCATTCGTACCCTTTCGTTTATACTCTGTTGTTCCACCTCATGTTACTTAAAATATTTGCAGAAATTGATTTTGGTTCTCATTCGCATAATTCCATTCATGTTAAATGAGAATATCAGTTATTTTTATCAGTGAAATAATGACTCAACACATGCAACATCTGCTGCATCAGAGCTTGCTGTGGCTTGTGGCTATTACCCATGATGCCATACAGCTTAGGCTTAAGTTTCACCTTAATATGTAACACCTTCGATTAGCATGGTTGGCTACGTATGGTGTGAAAGAAGTTGAACATAGATACATACGTATTAGGAAAAAGTTTCACTCAACAGAACGTAGTTCATTTGCATACAGATTGAATGTAATTTATGTGCACTCTTTAATGATTGTGAATGGTGATGTTATTGATAATGGAAATAACAGAAAAATTGGCGACTCATTTGCAGGGGAAGTTGACATTGTCTCGGCTCATGTGCAAGCTCTTATTGATGCGGGAGTGAAGGCGGAAGACATTGCAGTGATCGCTCCCTACAACCTTCAGGTTCGTCAGTGGTTCAGAACTTCTGCTTCATAATCATCGTTATGATCTGCCACTTCCTTCCGTCTTGTCCGGAACATATGACCATTGAGGTTAGCAGCCAGCAGTACCGCTCACAAGCAGCCTCACCTTGCACTGCCAGTATTTTGAGTCGTTTAGGATTTTTAAAATTAAAATGTAACTCCCAACACTCTCTGATTTACTCGTGAATTTCCATCTCGTTACTGTATATTTCCAGTACTGCCAGCATGTCATTGTCATTCGTGTATATTTAAATAAGTATAAGTCGATATTCGTTTGTCATGCTTAACAAAAGCTTCAGTAAACAATGAAGTTCCATGCATGCATTTCTAGGAGTCAACTAACAAATGAAAGTAGGCAGTGAACAAGTCAGTAAGTGGACGAGATAGGAGGCAGTCACTCTGATTGTCAAGAAGAAGAATTTACAATGGCACAGAGATCTACAGGTACCGCAATGAGGTTGCCACAGAAACTTATGCAACAGCATAAGTTTCTTCCCATCTGCTCTCGGAGCAGATGGGAAGACATGGCAGACAGAGACTTGGCACAATGTATGTCTGCAATAAAAACAAAAGCACCTCGTCCAACAAAATTGCAATTGGACGAGGTGGAGGGAACGTGTGTGTCCTGCACACATGCGTGACCCCATAACACTGCCTGATGATGAATGAGTGCCCTGTGTCCTGTGTGCATGCAGGTGGACATGCTGAGACAGAAGCTGTCCGATCGCCACCCGGAGCTGGAGATTCGCTCGGTAGATGGCTTCCAGGGCCGGGAGAAGGAGGCGGTCATCCTCTCTCTCGTCCGCTCGAATCGCAAAGGTACCGGTGATACTGCTCATCTGGAGGCCGGGGTTTTGTGCCAGCACGATTGGTTCACTGGCAGTGATAGTAGTGAAAAGTCAAAATGACCTCAGGGTTTGCGACCTGTTTTGTCAATGTTTTCTTAAAGGTTTAACTTTAGCTCATAAACCGAGTTATCGCCCATTGGCGCAGCTGCTGAAGGAAGAGCCAGTTGTGGTTTTAAGTTTAAGGTTTCGTTTAAAAAATATACATAAAAATGAAATATATCTTAGAACCCTGTACATGGTTAAGGAGTGGCTGACATTTTCAAATGGTTGAATTATGAGGTGTATATATGTTGAACTTCTTTCGCACTGTACGTAGCCAACTGTGCTAACCAGAGGTGTTTATTCTACTCTAAGAAACGTTCACCAACACATGAAGCCGATCCAACGGTTGTGCTCATTGAGGGCAATGCATTTGCACCCAGTGGTGTGCATTGCTGCGATTGCTGGCACACGCAGGAAGTGAATAGTGCCACCCGTGCGTGTCGTGCAGGCGAGGTGGGCTTCCTGGCGGAAGATCGGCGCATTAACGTGGCGGTGACTCGCGCGCGGAGGCACCTCGCCGTGGTGTGTGACTCTTGCACCGTGCGGAGGCACGGCTTCCTGGGCACGCTGCTCGACCACATGGCGCGCCGCGGCGAGACGAGAACTGCCTACGAGTACCTGCAGGTTCGTCCCGAGTGCCTGGCCCTCCGGGTACAACGTTTCGGCTCTCTCTTGTTTTTCCCGCGTTGCAGTGAGGTTTCCAGCGCTGCTGGTGTTAGCATTGTCTTGTGTATTTTTTTGGTGGTCTGTGCGGGCAGGACATCGTTCCGGAAAACTTCAGTCACGTCAAGTCCACCGACGAGCCTCGCACCGAAGGTGACAAAGAGGGCGGCGGTGGTGCGAGGGCCAAACCTCAGCAAATCCGTGACAAGACCAGCGGGGGGCGTGCGCCAAACTCCAAAGTACAGGCGGCTGTGTCCGCAGCTCGGGACAAACGAGTGGACGCTTCAGTGCATAAGATGCCGAGAGGAAGCGCAGAAACTGCGACGCAAATAGCGCCTTCCGTGAGCTCCAGCAGCACCCTAGAAGAGCTGCGCAAGTGTGTCGAGGGGTTTGTCGCCGACCCGGCAAGAAATCGACTTGATTTCCCAGCTTCGCTGAACTCCCACGAGCGAATGCTGGTTCATCAGCTGGCGGAGGAGCTGGGGCTGGGCCACGCGAGCACTGGCTCGGGGAACCAGCGCCACGTCGCCGCGTGGAAACCGGGTGAGGGGGCGCCCGCCGTCGCGAAACCCAGTGTCGCCAACGGTGAGACACGCAGGGGCCGCTCGGAGGCCGAACAATTAGATGAGTCCTCGCGGAAGGAGCCAAAGAAAAAGGCGTCTCAGAAAAATAGCGCAGAGAGGCAATGCTTGGAGAGCGAGTCCCTACGCGCGGGGGGCTTGCAGAAAGAGAAGTCCTTGCGCAGGGATATCTCGGAGAAAGAGCCTTTGCAAAATAATGCATTGGTGGGGGGGCCTAGGCCCCTGCAGGCCTCCACGAACATCAAACCAGCTTCTCCCGCAAGCAGTCGGCAGCAGACCGCCGCGTCGGGCGGCGTCGACTTGAAATCATTGCATTTGGAGCGCGTGGAGCGGGAGCATGCCAGGCAGGAGGAGAAGCTCAGGCAGCAGAAGCAGCAGAATGAGGACCCTGGCAAGAATGGGAAGACCCGGACAGCTCACACCAAAGGTGATGGTCGCACACAAACATGCACACGCACACACACACACACAATTTGCTGTAATAGGGGATCATTTGTATATACGTTCGACCATAAATGGTACATAATGAACAGAGTAGAGAGAGTAGAAGTAGGACAGTGATTGTCCGGCTTATATGAAGGGATGACACTTTGCAGTCTTCTTTAATCAGTCTTCCTTTCCCTCCCATCAGATCAAGAGCGGCGATGGGGTGAAATAACTCCCTCCTCTTTGCCCTTTGCCAGCTTTGTTGCTTCAGTCATTCTTGTACCCTTTTGTTTAATGTCATTATATATTTAATTAATCCGTCTCGCTCGTTATCTCCTCATGCCATTTCCTTTTTCTCGAGCAGGGATTGCTAGTTGTGACATCGATGTGTGCCATCAACACTTTGAAGGAGGCATAGATATGAACAGTTTTTAATTGAGATAGAGACGGTTGTTCCATAGACAAGGTAGTTTATAATTAGCATGGTGAGCTTTATTTGATTTTAATATGTGCACCATGCATTCTCTTAATATAGTATCCAATGTAAGTGGAAATCTTTGATTCATTGCAGTTTGATATAGTGAAATTGGCCGTAACATTTTTTTACGTGCCCAATTGATAGTTATTGTATTGCAGTGTTTGTGGTGCACATTACCACTTTAAATTCTGGGTCAGCATTTTTTATATTTGCAAAAATGGCTTTGACCAGCAAAAAAGTAAAAACAGCTAAAGGTGTAATTTCTTTTGCACAAAGGTAAATTGTTTTTTTCATTCATTTATACAGTCCCCTTCACAGTTCCACACAGCAAACGGCATTTAGGTGATGCAAATTACATTATGAACAGCCTCTCCATCCAGCAGTAGATTGACAAAGGCCTGCACATGTCATGATGCTCATGGGGGCTGTTTCAATATACTTCACCACTCTGGTCAGTGCAGGTTGGTGAATGTGGGAAAGGACCTTTTACCGGTTCAGGTGTCATCCGCTACTGACTTTTGTCATGACCAAGGACCAAACTCGGCTTGATGGGTTGATAGCGCAGTGCGTCATTGCTCGGCAAACTCAATATGTATCGGCATGTAAGAAAAGTTCCACGTCAGTATACTCCTAATATTCGTAGTGTGGACTTACACGTTGACCACGTTGCTTTTGTACGCGTTGCATCCCCACCCAGGAGAAGTGGGAGGAAAAAGCGGCAAGACGGGCGTCGTGGGCGAGAAGGCGGAAGAGGATTTTGACGCCATGATTGCCGCCATGGTGAAGGCGAACAGCAGGTGCGCGTTTGCCAAGTGCAAGACGTCGGTGCAGACCCTCAGCCAGCACTGTCAGTTCTGCAAGAGCCTCTACTGCCTGAGCCACCACATTCCGGAGGTAATTTCATGCGTCGACATCCAGCACCTCCGATTAGCACGGTTGGCTACGTACGGGGCCAATGTAATTGGTTCAAGTTTAGGTGACATTTTTTTGTGAATGCATCCGAGTTCCTTACATTTTTTCTCCCTCTCAATTACATAAAAATTGTTCTTTTGAAGTCGTGTTATGAGACGAGGAAATTTACATCTGTAACTCATACAGCGAGCAGTGCTCCACGTGTGTCAGAGAAAAGGTTTGGAGTATTATGCTTTGGAGTCACCAATTTATCTGCACAAGGGGGGCACAACTTTGTGCACCGTGCTAAGATGGTGCATTGCAAGTCGATCAAACCAACATTTCTAATTCTCTGAGCTGGAATAAGGTGCATTTAGTTAAAAATAAAATGTAGTCATGTTTTTTTTTTAATCATCAGGCCAGTGACCAGCTGAGATCATTAACTGGCAACACATGATAAGCTAATTTAGTGACCAGTGGCTAGTATCCAGATTTTAATCCAGGTTGCTAATGGTGCTAGCTCAGTGCTCTGAGTCACCCAGCCCTCTCACTCATGTTTGACTTTAAAAGTAAAAAAAACTAAAACAAGCGTGGGGAATTGCTCATCTCCTGTCTGAAACCTTGGGCCATGAATGAAGTTCTACATTCCTATGACGGGAATAAATAATTTTATACGATACTCAATGGTAATTTTGCCATAACACGTTACTCATTTGATCTTATCCCCAGGGGTAGCATGGACTTATTTGAAGGATTTGAAAAACACTTTCTGATTGCAGGTTCGTGGATTATAACCAAATTACCAGCTACAGAGATTATGAAATAAATTACTGTGCTTTGGTAGCTTATTCGTTTGTGCTTCTAAATGCGATTTACATTTATAATTTCACAAAAATGAATTCCAAATTATTGTTCGTAATGCATGTGTATGGCTGTGCCTGTATCTGTGAAACAGAAGCATTTTGAGATTTCTATGGAACTAAGCAACGATGTTGCAATATTTGTGCCTCATTATGAACTAAGCGTGGCCTTCTATTATAATTTGATATATTGCTACTAATTATTGGCCATTTTTATTTTAGATGCAATTCACGGGAATAATGTAATAACTAAAGGGCACATTTTTGCGATAATGTATTCAGAGAGCACAGTCTGCACCTTGGCATCTGGCTTATGTAAACAACATGGCAGGATTTCCTTTCATGGCCTTTGCCTTGTTTTGAGGTGTTCATTTAAAAAAAAAAACTATCCTCCACCTCAAGAAAACAACATGCGCATGCAGTTTTACACATAGAGCTCGTTTCATGTAATGCTGCTCCAGGGTGCTGAACACTCTAGCAGTTTCATCATTGGACCTCCTTTGCCAGTACCAAAATATAATAATAGGGGTTTCCCCCTTTTTTTTGGCAACAGAACTGAAACTTTGTTTACGAGGATTCATGTTTGCATTAACCACAATACTTGCAGTCAAAATGCATACAAAAAAACACACTGATAATATATACATTGTCCTTGAAACGTATTGGTCCACACCAGAGACGGCTTTCTTTCGAGCCTAGTCTCAATTGGTGCTAGACCAGATGAGTGTTTTTTTTGTTTGCATTTTGACTGCAAGTATTGTGGTTAATGCAGACATGAATCCTTTTAAAAAGTTTCAGTTTTTGTTGCCAGAAAAAAGGGGAGAAACCCTATTATTATTCTCTAGCAGTGATAATGGCTTAATGCATGCACACGTGCTCACGTAGCAGGACTTTCCAAACTGCAGTCCTCATGACCCATCACACTTCATACTTTTCCATTTTTACCAGTTATCTCATGTGTGCAATGCATATGAATTAGTTGTTAATCGTGAACTAATCTGAAAATCTCAGGGGGTCCATAAGGCGTTGGGTTTTTTAGGGAGTCCTGAACATGTGGCCATTATATACTTTTGAGGCAAGTGCTTTTTGTGAGCACCTATTAAAGCTGGCACAGAATACAAGAGGTTGGTGTAGCCAGCACCACACCCTGCCACCTTTGTCTCCCTAGTGCTAATGTTTACACATGACAGTAGGTACTATTTTAAGGATGAGCCAACCTAGGGCAGGCCCAAGACATGCTCTGAAACCATTCCCCGGCATGTTTGTAGTGCAGTTTGCTAGATTTGGGGTTCGTTACAATTGCAATTGTCACAATAAATTGCAACCACAGTCCAATTGTCATGGTAATATCAGCTGATAATGCCACTGTGTTGGTAATTATCGGCTTAAATGAATTCCACAGAAGGACATGCATAGACAAAGATCCTGTATAGCCGTACAGACTGCTGGGGCAAGTGCTGTTAGCGAGCATCTATTAAGAAGACACATTGGGTGGGGGTGGCAGGGAGGGCTTTGACGTGAGCTCGATATTCCATGGCTGCACTTTCACCTTTTTACTGAAACTAAACTTTTTTTTATTTTACCAGATCAGACCCACTGAGCCATATATTTATTTTTCAGAAGCGACCTGGCCACAAACGATAGCTCAACGAAGTGGCTTAAGATGTGGAAATGTATCGCAGCCAAATACCCTAAACACATGTTTCTAAATGTGGAGGGAAAAACCGGAGGACCCAGAGAAAAATGCACGCGACCACGAGAAGAAGAGTATACAGCGGGCGTCAGGGTCAGGATCGAACCCATGGCCTCCTGTACACCAGGCGATGTAGTTAACATCTCGCCAGCGTGACAAGCCAGTGACTCGTGCGCTTGCCCGCGTGTCCCCGCGGGACTCGTACGCACAGGTGCACGGCTGTGGCGAGCAGGCCCGAGCGCACGCGCGTCGTGCGGTGCTGCGCGATGGCGTTCTCTACCCCGGCAGCGGTCCACGGGAGCGCGCCTCCGACCCGGCACGCCGCCAGCAGCTGCAGCGCCGCTTCGAGAAGAAGATGAACGAGATGGTGAGCCAGCGCAAGCCCAAGCAAAAGGACAAGGACAAGGACAAGTAGCGGCAGAGCACTCCGTAGTTCGTGCCCACTTGGGCAGCTTCCGAGCAGGTCTCTTGATTTTCAATTTTTTCATTTGGTTTCTGTTATTTTTAAGATGCATCAGTCAGAGGCGCACCGCTCTTGAACAGCAGCGAAGGTATAATCTGCTAAATGTTACTAATTTAAGGGGTGGGGAGCGGAGGCACAGCGGTTCGCACGTTGCGCTTTGAACCCGACGACCTGACATCGGTGGAGAGTGACAGATGAGCTGCTCCTGAACCCTCCCCCCTCTTTTCCAATCTGCACTGCATTGTGGTGAATTATATGGTTGAACAACCGTCATGACTGGCATGACATGGAGAGGCCTTCATCCCGGAATGATAAAACCATCTACATTATTTTTGTTTTAGTTTTTTGGGATGGGTTTACATTGCCCTCTACAGCCACTAGAGGGCACTACCCTCACCACAATGTTAAAATATATGGTGAAGTATGGTCAGAGCAACCCCCATGACCAACACAGCATGGGTAGGCCTTCCTTTAGCATTTGTTTGAAAAAAGGCTGTAGATTAAAAAGTCTAATTTGAAACAATTTGCACTTTGTTGAAGAAATTGTACATTTGAAATGCATGATACCGTTTGTATTTTCTCTATGGGTTCCTTCAAATCTGATTACGTGAATTTTCATTTGCAATAGAAAATGCTGCCTTTGGCGTTTTTAAAGGCATTACATAATAGGATCATAACTCGGCAAGGATGGATGTCGTGAAGACGGACAAGGACACACTCCCAGTAGTTTAATGAAATGAGCACAGGGCCACACAGTATATCTAACGACAGCATCACCCCAGGCTCTTCCTAAATATAGTTCTGCATTGAGTTTCTTTTCTCAGCCAAATGTCGCCAAGTTTAACTCATTCCATTTCACAGCTCAGTGTCTGCTTCTTGGTTGATGTTTGGCTTGAATTGCAGCCGCATATTTAATCCATATGCCTCTCGCTAAATCATCTCAAATGTACCAGATCTCATCAGTTCTTGGAAGTTAAGCAGGAAAGAGCCTGGATAGTGCTTGCATAAGCAACTACTGTGCATAAAACAGGTGTTATAGACTACAGTTTGGCTACATTGTGGGCAGCAGAGGGCAGTACAGAAAAATCCATTGTACTGTATTATGCTCCCATGGTTATCCTCCCCACCTTCACCAACTTGCCCTCATCCAGCAGTGGATTGACAAAGAGGGCTGCACGAGTACCTGTACATTTATTTCCACTCCGTTAATGTTCACCTGAGCTGAGATTCAGCAGTTGGGACCTATCAAAGAAAATCGAGAGCAGGTAAGATCTACATTTTAGATGGTGACCACCGTGACGTGGAACGCCAATCAGATCATGTTTACCTGTGTCACTTTCAATGCATATTGAGGTGTTCACTCACAATTATATTTTTTACAAACAATTGCAAGCCGAATGTATAATTTATGTACACGGTATAATAAAGTTGTATGCAGATTAACATTGTGCGTTATATGAGTATCATAAGTAGAATTTGCTGCTTGATTTTAAAAGGAGAATGGTGTTTTTTTTAAGGTGTCTGTAATGATTTTGTTTTGTAAAAATAATGCCCCCTTTCTAGGAAAGCCTCACTGAGTCTCGAGATTCTTTTAGAGGAGGGTTGTGCTGCATTGAGTTGTTTGGCAAATTCCATTCGTAAGTGTTTGTCTTCAGGAATGTAGCCAGAGAATCCAGAGAAAACCCATGAATATGGGATGGGGAGATAAGACTCCCAAGTTCCACACAGAAGGATTTAAGAAGCCATTTACTGTACTACCAACTCCTGATTATCTCCAGACCCATCACATCAATTTTAAGTATTTTAAAAAAGAGTTTTAAAAAGTGCTTGTGTAATGACAGGGTGACACCTGATGGCATGATAGGGTGAAACTTGCTGGCCTGGGAAGGGATTCACGGATACGGGCACAGAAGTAACAACCAATCAGGGAAGGAGGTGTATCTAGGGCAAAGGTAACAAGGTGGGGTTAGCCGAAATATTCCGGGAATCTGCTCGAAGGTTCCACGAGAGGGCGTGGCCGGAGGCGGGGCCTAGCCACGCCTGGGGGGATTTCGGGGTGAGCGGACCCGGAACTTGGGGCTCGTGAGTGGGGTCCTGGGTCCTGGCTGCGTCGTTGTTCACCGACATCTCTCTCCGTCGTCCGGACACGTGGAAGATCCCCTGCGTGGTTTCCATCGCCGTCATCGTCACGCCGCCAGGCAGCGGCGTGGCCGAGGGCAAAGAGACCACGCCGAGTGATCAGTTGTGCGTGTAGCCAATGGAGTTATCTATATCTATAAAAGGGAAATTTGTGAATGTGTGTCTGTTCGAAGTATTTAGCGTACTTCCCAACAAGCAACAAACTTGAAATTTTGGTAGCTTCCAGACTGTACATAATGGAAAAAGTAAAAAAAAGACTTTTATATTTTTGCACGACAAGTGAGCGGTGACGTCACATCTGTGATGTCACTCGCATGCGGTAGCGTCACGCAGTGTGCCTAGTGACGTCACGCCCCCCACCCTCCACGTCGGCCGTGTATTACCGTAATCCAAGACAAGAATCCAAGTCCCAGGCGAAGCCGGGTTGCAAAGCCAGGACCTACTATAATCGCCCAGAAATGTCCTTAACGCTCGCGACGTCACGCCACATCGATCAGCCCCCCTCATTAATAATCAGGAGCATGTAACGTCATTCCACATGGAGCACCCTCCCCCCTCATTAATAATCATGAGCAGGTGACGTCACTCCACATGGGGGGGCGAGGCGCCTCCTCCCCCCTCCTCAGCGTCAACTCACAACCCTCACTATAAAGGCAGAACCCTCACGTCATCACGTGATCTCCGTCACGCTGTTGAGACATCAAAGTAAAAAGGACGTCGTGATGAACAAGGGATTATAACCTTTAAATGAAATAAGTCTGTGTCACCGCGGCCTTACAAACTGCACACGAATGGATGCAATATCACGTCGCGGTCTGCTTTTCGGTTGCAAGTTTCAGATTTACTGCAATACACCCGTCCTTGGGCGGACAAAAGGCTTGTTACCTAGAGTTATACTCAGTGTGAGGAAGAACAGGTGTTGGCCTGTGTTGTGCCTAGTGTGAGTAATAAAGTACTCTCTATACTACGTGTCGTGGAAGTCGCTCATTACACTTGTACTATTGCAGTCCGTGGCATTGGATGAGAGTCTTTAATTGTTAAAAAGACTTCACTTTGTACATTTCAGCTCGCAACAGTAACCGTAACCACCGCACTCCCACTGACAGGAACACGCTGAGTATTTAGATGGCAATTCAACTTGTAACACTTAGGTTATTTAATCTCCCAATGCAAAACATGCGAACTACCGCTGCTCACGTCACATCCACCCACCAGAGAGAAAGGGTCAATGGTGGCGCAGTTTTGTCTCTTATGCATTCATCAGAGACAAAAACGTTGCCTTGTGTCGGTTGGTGAATGTTTCTGTGCTGTTAATTCATGGGCCCCAGACCCCGTTATATCCCTTTGTTCTATCACCCGAGGAGGCTAAAAGTTTAATGGCACTGATCTTTATGCGACAGATATAGGTGAATTGTAAGAATGAGTGGGTTATCCCGTAAATCACTGTCTTCTTAACACACTTTTGGCCGTGACTCTTTTTCCAGGAGGGTCCTGTGTGAGTATATTTGGCCTGTTCCATTGACGCCTCTGACATGTGGGAGGAAACTGGAGGAATACCTAGGGGGACACCTAAACATAAGATAGGATAGCACTCAAACCTCTGCACAAACCTGAGAATCTGTTGCTGTCCTGCCATCCCCAAACCACCTTGCATGTAAAGCATTCAGTACAAGTAAAATCTCGTCCCCTCAGCTGGCATCACCAGTCTCTACTCTGGCCTATGGATTCTGTGCCATGGCCTATATTTGGATTTCTGTTTACTGTACAGTACCAGGCACCTCCTTCAAACTTGCAGCAGAACTATTTAAAGTCCAGTCTTTGACTCAAATACCCAGTGACATGTGGATGATATTTGTATCCTGTACCTACGGATGTGGCTGCTTGCGGGAGTTCAAGAATCGGTGACCTTAAAACTGTAAATCAAGTCCAGTAGTTCAGCTTTCTCCAAAATAATAATTATGCTGCACACCATCAAGTGACCCTGAACTGCAAAGCAATGTTCTAAGTCGAAGCACAATGATGCTCTTTCAGTACCATTTGTTCTGGGAGATGGGTTACATCCACGGGTGAATTCACCAATTTGTCTTTGCGCAACAGGAGCATACTGGGGCGTCACTCTTGTACTTCACGTGCTCAGCATCACCCATAATTCAGGGCTACGTTCTGGACAACAGAGGGTAGTGAAGCAAAATTGTAGTGTACTGCTATGCACTCATCAGCGTGGAGAAGTATTGTCAAGTAGCCTCCCACGGCTCCCATGGAATGGGAAGGCCCTCATCCAGCAGTGGATTGACAAAACGGTTGGGTGTGGACATTTAGTGATTATCCACAATGCTTTGGCATCTTGCTCACCGGTAACTTTAAATTATTATTTTTTTACCCTCATTGTTAACCAAGTGTCATGCCCAGGACACAGCGCTTTGGCCAATATCTATAATACTAGGGGCTGTTCGGGGGCACCTGTGGCGCCCCTCACAACCATTTATGGCCTTCGGCCAGGAAAGTCACAAAATAATTGCACACGAACGACACATTCACGCAAGCACCCGATGCTCCGTTTTGAAGTTTTAAAATGAAACATCTTTGAATAGTATTATGTTTTGAATGAGATAATTTTATTTCTTCATTAAAAGCTTATATCATTTTACGTCTGGAGGACTTAATTGAAAACGACATTTCGTGTGACTTTTCTCTCGTCGTTAAGTAGATGGCCTTGCTGGGGGTTCGGTTCGATGCGGACTTTCACCTGTTTGGGATATGTGGGATCGAGATAAGGCGACATAGAGCTGCTGGCCGTGCGAGAAGACCGCCGTCTGCAGATCGATTCCAACGTAATCGAACGTCTGTCCCTGCGCCTCCGTCGTTCATACAGGGAGCGCGTAAGGTTTACAGCGCCCCCTGCATGAAAACGACGGAAAGTGCAGCGTTCATCACAGATAGATAAAGTTGTGCGCTTATATAAGAGTATAAAGTTTATTAGCTGTTTGGGTTGCATCTTTCTGAAATAAGCTCCACAAACCCAAAGATTCCGACAAGGGTGTGCGCACACTCGCACAAATATTTCACCACCAGCGTCGCTGTCGTTTCAACCAAGGTTCATCATGATGAGTAGGTGCAGGGAACAGTTGAAATCTCCATAAGCACTCGAGCAAATTAACACAACCTAGTGGAGTGACAAGACATGAGACTTGAGAGTGGATAGAGTATTTACGTGGGTGAGCGCTTCTCTGTGTTTAATGAGTTGATGGAAAATAAATAGGGTTGTGTTATTATTAGGTATTGCTGTTAAGAGAGAGCATATTCAAGGTATACAAATACCAGGATCCTGGCTCATTGTCGTGATATATATAATACGTTCAGTTCACTTTATTTTTTTAACCAGGTGATAACTGAAGAAACAGGGATATTCTCGTTTGCAAGAGTGATCTGGTTCACAAAAATGGCAAAAGCAATAAAAAATCAACTACAACGAAGAATTTAACATATTGCAAACATAATTCCCTGCTACGCAAATCGGTTGGGGTAGATTACCTCCACATTGGTATGCACAGACACTGTTTTTAATACATTAACAATGATTACACATGCCCTGAGTTGGTGACGTCTCCAGAATTCTAAATGTGATTTTTAAAAACCAAAGACAAATTCTCGCGAAAAAAAATATTGACTGGTTGAAGAGGAAAAAAAAATCCTCTCTTTGCCTTGGAATAACCTGCAGAGAAAACATTGCATCGTGCAAGGACATAAATACGTGCTGCTGGCCTCGGATGACTCGTAGGCTTTGGTGAGCACGATGAGACAAGAGACTGCAAATGCGTTGTGTCACATTGATGTGATGCGGGACACATTTTAAGTAAATATTTCCTTTTCGGTTTGCAGGATGCGTGCGACGATGTAGTCCATGGGCCCAGACCAAAAAAAAAACTTATTGGTACCACCTGAGGTGGCAAAGTCTAGTCATGATTTTTGTAATCCTCCATGTGTGTGGGACGTATTCTGAAATGATAACCTTTGCGGAGTTGCAGGTTAGTTGTAGTTACCATGACTTTTATACCCATACCCTATGACAGGCGTCCGGAACGATGAAATGGGCATTGTTACTGAAAAACTACCTAGACCAAAGCCAGTTAGGTCACAAACTGGTCTTTATTGGTTTAAATACACAATGAAAACACAGGATAATAAGAAATACCATTGTGAGGTAATGAACTACTTGAATATTATTAACATTGACATCCGCATATACTTAGTCAATGATACATGTAATCCCATACATATCGTTAGTGATGGGTATATGTGAAGGT